CTTCAGATCTCTCTGCAGTTGTATGATACCCCAAAAAAGGGTTCAGAATCCTGTGCCATGTCCTGCTAAACACACTACCATGGCTCCTCCAAACAGGACAGACAATATTCAAGGCACGCTAGTAGAGGAAATATCTTTCATCCCAGTTTGGTGGTGCATCCTGAAATATGAATGCTTTCCTTTTTCTTTATTTTTGGCAGGGAAAAGAGTGGGATATATTTGTAAACCTTCATTGGTTTAAAATGAAGGCACCTCAAACACAATGTCACGTCACAGAATTTGTTTGCTGTTATCTTCCATAATTTAATGTTTAAACTAGATCAAATTAAAACAAGAACAAAACCCAAAGGTGAATAGTAGTGAAAAGAAGTGCCCAAGTAGAGGATTTCATCATGATGTTTGTTTGCACAGCAAACAAAGCAGTATTGCTTTGAGCTAAATCATTTTCACAAGTAAGGCATGTTCAATGTATGCAGAACGGTGAAGAGGCAAACAATAGAGGCAATGTTTATGAACAAGAAGCTTATTCCTAAACAGAAATGTATATTTGTGTTTTGTCAGACAAAAAATTGAATTGTGTGCAAATAATATTGGAGGCATTCAAAAATACTTATACTTGTACAGACGCTCAAGATCCTTTTCCAAACGTGGTTCAGATAATTTACTTTAAAGGACATGCCACTTAGAGGAAACAGCCACTCTTTCCCAGCTCTCCAGGTCAGCAAAAGAACCTCCTCATGTATATTGCTTGCTATATACAACAGTACTTGTTCAAGGGCCTGCTGTGAAGGCTTTGCTCTGAATATTTCTCCCTGAAAACCATTAAGGCACATCCCTAGGAGGATTTTAACTTTTCAGACTGCATACCTATTATCATAAACACTATGTATTTATGTCATATTAAAGCACAAGTCATAGTACCTCTAATTTGTATTGCATTTTAGTTTTTCATACTATTGCTTATGTTTGATGTCTTTATCTTTCACAGGTCAAGTAACTAAAGCAAAAGATCTCATGGCTTCCCTTTTATTGCTGTACAAGTATGAGTTTCCCTAGGCAGTCTTTCCTTTATCAACTTCCTATTGCTGATAGGACAGAAATGCATTGCTGTGAAAACATGAGCCTGAAATGGGAAATATTTTACAACAAAACATTGCTGGCTAACATCACCCCAAGCAGCATATCATAAAGCTGATAGGGGTAAAGACTGTTCCAAGTCCATCTGTCAAGAAAGAGCTGAAAATTTGGAAACATTCTTACAGACCTTTAGAACAAACAGAAGAACAGCATTTGCATTAAAAGCACATTAAAACCATATAAAGTACTGTAAATTATATAAAAAAAAATCCAAAACACAGCAGTTACAGATTATCAAAGGGAGAGACAGTTGAAAAGCAAAAGTTTTTTGTTCAGGTGTTGTTTTTTTTTTCTTTGCAATAGCAGCATTTTGGCACAAAGGCAAATGCAGAAGATAGAGAAAAACAGGCAGACAAGGTACAGAGAAAGTTACAGAATCTACAACAAGCATGCCACAGTTCAGCAGGACCAAAAGCACAGTAAGAGCTGTCCCCAGCTTCCCTTTCCCAGAGAGAATGGCAGCCACTGCTCAAAGCTTGTTGCCGCTTCCCCCACTGAAGGGTTCCAGTTTGGCCATAACCTCCCCTGGGAGCAGCAGGGCAGAAGCCACACAGGCTCTGAGCAAACCCCTCACACAAAGGGTGATGCCAGCTGAGTGCTGAACAAACCTCAACCTGCTGATCACAGACTGTGCCCTGCAACCATCACTCTACAAGGGACAGACAGAACTCACTCCATGCCAGCCAGCACTGTGGCCACCCAGGCAGGGACTGACATCTTTAGCAAGGTTAATCCGTGCCAAACAGGTTAGTGACAGCACAAGAAAGGGCTTGTTGGGACCAATCTCACCCCATCTGACTAAACCTGCTGAAGGCTACTCTGTGGTTGAATATATTTTATGCATTAAGCTGGTTAAAAAACGTTTGGTGATATACAGTGAATGTAGGGAGAAAACCCATGCAATTTGCATCCATTTGGGATTTCATGGCAACTACTAAAAAGCAGGTCTTGCAAGAGTCACCATAAAGCTCCCTGAAAAAAGCACTTTTGGTAGCTCAGGGCTGAATTTAACTCTCAGGTATACAATTTTAAAATGGCTGCCTTTTTATATATTCCACAATGGCTGTTACTGTTGTACACCTTCCCTTTGCCTTCTAAGCTATATTTGCATCTCCACCAAATATCAAACCTGAGCATGTTACACACTTTTCTGCTTTTACTTAATCCTTGTAGAGGCAACTAACACTCTGCACCAAGACCTACCCCACCATGAGGATCAGTTCAGACCTCAGGGCCTGAAATTGCTATTGCCAAATTCCATTTGGTGGTCTTGCCCTAAAGGAAGTAAAACACTTTCAGATGTATGACCTGTACTAGGGGAGTGACAGATGGATGAAGTGGAGGCTAGGAAACAGATCTCTGCCTGTGTCTTCATCTCAGACAGGTTTTTGCTCAAGGTATTTGTCTAGGCTACAGTGAAAGCTTGCCAGAAGGAATACACGCAAATAGTTTAAATTCAGGAGTTACACTGAGATGTAATCTTACAGACTCCTTTTGATTATTCAGGAATAATATCCTGTTCTTCCACTGTATAGGTAAACTTGGTAGTTCAAAAAGGTTTGTTTTTTGAAACCATAAATAACTGTAAAACCCACCACAGGTTTCCCGACCTAGCTACCCAGCAGGAAGGGGAGCTCAAGGTAGGTACCTACAGGACATGACTGTAACAGAGAACTGACCTGCTTTTAATGCCACTCTGGATTGTTTCTAAAGTACATTGCATTTTGCTTCCTCCTGCTTCTTAACCATTGCTAAGTCAGTAGTTCCAAGAGTTACTTAAATCATACTGCACAAAGAAAGCAAAACTCAGCCACTACTGGTATTTCTTTAGCACAACAGAGGCACTGCTCACCTCTTGTAGCACTGAATGCACTTCTGCCATGCACACATGAGAATGCACCACAACACCCTGCCTGAACAGTGACCCAGCTAAGCTGAGCACGTCCTAATGCACTCAGGGCACTGCAAGGGGCAAAGCTTTAAAAGGACCAAACGCTCTGAACATTATGCTACAGTTATACACTGCTCTAAAAAGCAGAAAGCAAACAAAAGGAGCCCTAGATTTCAAGTTTTGCCATTAGACAAAATGGTGTCTGTTCCAGCGTACTCCTCTGGAAGTACTACAGTGCTGCTACAGGATTGTGCCACCACTGCAGAAGGAGACATCTGATTTATAGCTGATTTTTGTCTGATTTATAGAAGTTTTATCATAAACTATGCCCTGTTGTTTGCTCTACCTAGCGATCATTTAGGTGCTACTCGCTGAATGTTCCTCTGTAAAAGCAATTAAATTTGATTTGTTGGAAGGACTAAACCAAAGGAGATTTTTCTGCCAGCAGTAGCTGTGATAAACTAATTGATAAATGAAATTCAAATCTCCTCCTTCCAATTATCATCACCTACAGCTTCACTCCACAAAACCCCTTATGCTCACATCAGTTGCTCTGTGTATCAATAAATATTTTTTCTATTCATCTTTAAGAATATGCTCCAAACTACAAAAAACCATTTTTTTCACTTTCAGAGAAAGCAGTTTTAAATCTATCCAGTTAGGCAAAAAATGCTGCAGTTCACACATCTGTCCATAGCATTTTGCAAATATCATTCTTCCCTACCCGTTTCTCACTTTTGCCATATGGAAATTGCACACACACAAAAGAGGAAATCTTGAAAGTAACTACACTCCAAAAATCAACATACTATGGATAAATTTTTGTCAGATTGTATTCAGTTACAATCTTAGAAACACTTGTATAATAATATAAAGTCAAAGAACACCATGATTTTTATCTGCTCCTGTGTTGTTAAGGCCTTCTCAACTGGCACTATGCAAACATTCTTTTCTCAAAGAATTGTTTTAAGTATGCTCCCTTTCTAAAAGCAGCTGATTTAGCTTATTCATAGTCTTTTGGAACAAGTACTAGAAATTAATATTTCTTCCTTTTTCTGACATCACAAAATGAGCACTCGGGGGCTGGGCAAACGAGCATTTGTAGCACAGACACTTCTCTCGTGTTAGAAGGAATTAGAATTTCAAGTTAAAAGGGAAAACTATGTCACAGTAAGACACACACATTCACCACCCCATTTCCAAAGCCACGACCAGGAGCAGCACAGATGCTGGCAGAGGGAAGAGCACCATGACCTGCCAGCACCACGAAATTCAAGGGGTTTAAGGAATCCAATCCCATTAGCTGTCAGACACCCAGAATTCCAAAGGAGACACAATCCAAAGATAATGGGATCTTTCCCATTCAAGTACCAGATTAATAAAGAGAAGCTTGGGAGAACGAGAAACCACACCCAGAATTCAGGAAAACACAGAAATCCAGTTTGTGAGCTATTCCAGTGCTTCATAAAAACTTTCCATTTCACTGACATTGAGCTGCATACATTACAGGGCTCTTTATCTGGGCTGACTCAGAGGAGACCCTCAACTGAGCATCTGTGTTTTCCTGGTATTCTTTCAAACAATGTCCTTGAAAGAACTGAGAACATCTAGGCCCCAAAGCCACAGTGCAAAATAATATATTGAGATTTCCACGTAGCACACAAAATTCACAAGGCACCGCAAAAACCAAACGAGTTACACAGCTCAAAGCTGGGTGACATTAACTCTCACTGGTCAGCAGGCTGCCCACAGAATTCCCCTAGGATCTGCCCGAGAACTTCTGACTGGACATAGAGAAAGGGAACCCCAAATGCCAGCAGCTGACACATGAAAAAGGAGTCCAGAGGGTTCTGGGCTACGTGGTGCCCAATGGAGGAGACTGTGCTGTGCAGGCGCTGGCTCAGCACCCTAACTCTGCCCACGAGGCCGAGCGAGAACTGCACCACCCTGCCAAAGAAGGAAGCGGAGCTACCTGGGGCCCTCTCTGCTGAGGTGGGGAGGCTGCTGGCCCGTCCATTCCCATCGCTGGCCATGGCGTCCTGCACAGCTCCTTTGGTGTCCTGGAAGAAGGTGGGGGAAGTTAAATTCATGTTAAAGTTGGAATTGCTGTGTGTATTGAACCGCTGAGCAAGGAATTGGGATGCCTCGCAACCATCACATAAGGCAAGGTCTAAAAAACAAGCATGCTCCTTCTCAATTTAAGGCTTTATTAAAGCTCTGAAAATCAAACTGGATAGCCAAGAAAGTCAAAGCTGTAAGAGCCCTGAAATGTGCTCCTCTGGGAAATAAAATAGGTACCGTTTTTAGTCTTTATTTTTGGCAGGAAGTATGGCACATACTGGGATGGATCCGTTATCCTTCCAGAAAGGAGCTCCAGCTTGTACTAATAAAACCTGAGAATCAGGTGGGACAGGCACCACTGCTTGCACAAAGGAAAATATAATTTAAGGGAAAAGGGCAGCTTGCAGCATGCAAGCTTAACAGAACTTAAGAAACAGCATGTAGCTTGCTCAGAGTACATGAAAATACTGAGAAGGGGCTTGAGGAGAAAAATGAGGTGCCTTGGATTAGAACAGCAAAAGCTGAGGGACAGCTGAGCCCTTTCTGTATTACAGTGTCTCTTCATCCTATATTTACAGCACAAATACTTCTATTATGATAGTATAGGAAAGGGGATATTCTGTCTTTTCATGCAGCTTCCTGTTAACACACAGCAGACCTTCAGAAATGAAGGTACATGATCTTCATATCTTATACAAGAGGGGTAGAACTTTGTGTTTCAAAGGAAATGCAAACAATTTGTTTCATCTTAAATAAAACCATGGAGAAACAAAGCAAAACCAGAACTGGTAATATTATTCATTTAGTCTCAGCATACACTGAGAAAGTATTTCAGCTGACAAGAAAAACAAATCAAAATTCTGTTTTGAACATGATTGCACATAATTTGATAAGTACCATGAAAAGAGCAGTAGTAAGCAGAGGAATTGCTTTTAAATAAGATTTAGTTGAACTGTAAGCTTTCATGATGGATAAAGCAACTAAACGCACCCCAAATCTTTCTACTTTCTGAAAAAAAACCCAAACCATCACACATCCTTTGTCACTGTTAAGAATCAAAATCTATTAACACGGCATGTTAGATGAAAATAATGAGTTACCTTTCCTGACAGAGGACCCACTGCTGGCCTCTTCCTCTGAGCATAACCAGAGACTCTGTAACAGTAGTGAGGTTTACAGTAGAATTTACCTGCAGATAAAACACAAATGATGGTCAGCAACAGGAACACAGGAATTTAGCACAATATAAATATCCATCTCACTGCAACTTATTTTCTGCTGCCACTCCAGTTGCTCTCTCTAATTTCTTCACTATACGCAGAGGCAAACACTAGCTGAAGTTTTAGCTCCAGCCCTGCTCTCTCCCCTTGTAACTAGGCTCTTTTCCATTGGGTGCCTGACAGCCATTTAGTGTAAAATCCTATCAAACACCAAAGCAAAGCTGTGAGGCTTGTGTGGTATCACATGCTAACAATGCGGCAGTGTGTGAGGAACAAAGAAATCATCACATGAAAAGCTGGCAGAAGCACTTTTGGAAAAAGCAAGAATGAATACAACCAGCAGAGGAAAGTGGGAGAGGACAGTGTTAACTCCCAAAGAACCATCTCTCAAAATGCACAGTGGCTACTTGTAGAAAGGACAATGACTCATTTTCACAAATAAGACCTTTTGTGATCCTGCTGGTTTTACTAACACCCCAGAAGTCTAGAGAGGTTTTTCACTGCTATCTGAGCACTGTCAGGAAGACAAAGCAGCATTAGCAATACTATCATGCAAATACTACTGGTACTAATAAAAGCAGCAAGCTGATGCCTCATAATTATCTTCCACTGTACCTTTGTCAGTGTATCCTGTGTGGCATATGCAGCCCACAGCACTCTCCACTGCTATCCCATTCCTAGAGCTTTGCCAATGCATTCCCAACACATATTCTGACCTCTGCCTCTAATTTTTGCAAAATACCAGCACAGAGATGGAAAAGTGACAAACATCTAGAAATTGTGACAAACATTGTAGAAATCTTTACCTCAGTAAGTATTTCTTAATGTTTACTCATACCAAAACCCGCTTTTTGAGATTGTCTGAAATGAGCAACAACTGAAAAGCTATTACATAAAAATTCTCAGACACTGACTGCAGAAGGCTGCAGAATGCTTGTCAGCCCAAACAGCCAGATGAACAGCAACAATGTGTGCACAGCTTTAGTGTTTTAGCTCTCAAAGAAAACCCAGAATGAAATACAAGCTACATTTTCACAATGATTATATTAGATAGATACCACAGATTTCTATTTAGCCACATCTGCTTCATATACACACACAACTGTTGGGCATGTAATATTTCAGAATCAATGCTACAAGCCTGCTGAAACTCCAAGCTTTGTGTTTGCTTCACTGAGAACTGTCTGGCCATAACTGCACACACAAGCATGCCTGCAGAGGGAATCACTAAAAATCTGGTGGTAAAAACTGTTTCAGCCCATACAGCTGACAGAGGATCTCCGTCTGTTAGTGCTTAACAGACAGTCAGATATTCAGTTACTTGTGAGTGCTCAAAATAACAGCAGTGCTCAAAAAATGCTTTTCCCTAACTTAGATTTCTGACAAAGACGTTGCTTTTATATGTTGATTTCAAAATCACCACTGGCCCCTTTAAACTTGCATGCCAAGTCTGCTGACCTTCTAGACAAGCAATAAAGGGGTTTCTATTCCTTACTGGGAGTCTGGTTTGATGATTCTAAGCTTCCTCAACTCTTCACAACCCAGCAAATCCATTACTTAAAGTCATTATATAATGCATTATGAACACACAGTTTTAGTTCTTTTTGCCCCTTAAACCAGATGGTGTTTCCACGGCCATTTTTCTACCCAGTATATATTAAAAGATTGTTCTTACACAGAATGGATACCCATCAATTTCAATCTGCAGTAGAATATCTTGGAGTGTCATCCTGTGACATAAATTTAAAATTTTTACTTCATCTTCACCTCAATCAGTGGGAAAAATACAGGTACTAACACTTTTTTCTGTAATTTTGTAATTCTGTTTTCTACACCATTATGTCTGAAATAGAATCCTTTGCACCCTACTTGTCACTAGTTTTACACCATTTTGCACTTATTTTCCTACTGAGATTGGATTAAAGATAGGTAGCTGTGTAAGAAAAATAAATGCATACCTGCTGATGTGAATCAACATTTACCTCAAATACTTTCTTATACATTTTCTTCAGAAAATGTGACATTTTTGTCAATCACTGCTCAAACAAAGATTGTAGTACATAGCTACCCTTACAAGGAAATGACTTTTCACAAGTGATGGATGCTCTTAAATTATTACTTTCAATATGCATACTTTGTTGATGAACTGAGTTTCATCTGCTGCCATATTGTCTGGTTTCTCAGACTTGTAGGGTATATCTGAAGCTTCCCTTCATTCCTAGCATGTTAGATTCTTTTAATTGAGGCATCAGCAAGTTTTGTAATCATATTCTTTTCTCCTTAGTCTATCAGATACAAAAAATAAAATCATTACTGAATCTTCAGTAACTACTGGTACAACACTCTTAACACTGACTTACCTCTACTCAACTTTAACATTCCATATTTTCTATATAAACAGAACTTAGCTTGTATTGACCTATTATCAACAGCCCCTGATTATGAAGTTTCTATTTTATTACATCTAAAATAAACACACAGAGTTGGACAGTTGTGGTACCTTCAAGAAGAACAAGCTGACCACATTTCTCTCCAACTTGTTATTTTCTCTTAAGTGGTATTAAACACTCAGAGGTTTTATTTAAATACTGTCAGATGAGGACAGTAAAAAGTCTAGCCCTCAAACTCAGCCTGTGAAGCTTTTTAAAGCCTCCAGTTATTATTTGTTTACCCTGCATTCTAGCAGCTGTTAATGATGCCCTAAGCTTTAGATTTCATATTTTCTAGATTCTGTGCTGCCTTAGTGTGTGACTCTGAACTTCACACAAAGTGCTCGCAAGTTCTCTTGACAGTTTAGTCAGACAAAACAATCCTTTTCCAGCCTGAGAACCAAGGACACTGTTGCAGCTTTGGGCCCAAAAGTGTGAACAATGGTGAAGTGAGGAAAGCAATTTGATTCACAACCTGAAGCTGCAATTGGACAATTAACCCATATATGGAAATGGACCAAAACTTATAAAAGTGTGAAAAATCATGACCAGTCATCCATCTTGGGTAGAGCCACAGCAAGGCTCTTGTACTGCCCAAGGTGTAACCTTTGAAGGCTTTTTAAATAAATCCCTCCTTTATTCCCTTTAACTCTGTCCAGTTTCTGTTCCAGGCAGCCTCTCCAGGCACCACTACAATATTGTATTAACGCCTATAAGTTTGTCTGCTCTGCTGCCGCCATGGCCCAGCCATAGGAAGGCCCCGAAGCTCCAACAGCTTGAGAGATGATGTCTGGAGAACAGAAGTCACCCTCTTCCCTAACTCACCAAACAGTTTGTAAGTGGCAGAAGACCTCCCAGGCCAGGAGGAGCCTGGAGAGCAGAGGCCGTTCCCTTACCGTCCTCGATGTCGTAGGCATAGGAGGACAGGCGCAGGGTGGTGGCGCAGTACTCGCACTTGAAGCAGCTGCGGTGGAAGAACTTGCCCTCGGCACTCAGCCGCTCCATCACGTAGACCCGCTTGCGGCAGAAGTAGCACACGTCGCTGCCTCCCAGGTTCTGGGGGAACTCCTTCTTGAGCGAGCCCTGGACACAAACAGGGATGGCTGAATTTGTGTGTGTCCAGCCTCACCGAGATCACACACCCAGGTCATGTTTTATCTCTTCATTTATGTGGATACGGGAGCACTTGGATGCTGCTGCAGTTCTTGGACACAACTCACGTTGGTTTTAACCAAGACACCAAAAACTAACCTTGTTGTCCAGGAAAAAGGCTCCTAGGATGCCATGCCTACATATATCAGGAGCAAAATAAGTTCTGGGTAGATGAGTGGACACCGGTATTATTAATGATGACCCTGAAATCAGTGACTTAAGGAGGCATATGAAGAAAGGCAAAACCATTAGAACACCCTCAAACAGCAATTCTTCGACCTACATTACCAAAACCAGTGTCTCCTCCAGAAAGCAGCAGTGCAGAAGTGTTATGAACAGTTTGCTCAAGTCATTACACCCAGTCTATGGACGCTGGCATTAGGTTAAAATATTTGGCAAAGGAAACAAGGACAGGAGTGAGGGTGGATGGAGAAAGGGAAACAAAAATGTCTCACAAAGCTACGACAGATTCCATCAGTGGTGTAACAAAACTCACAAAACTGGTGGACACTCACAAAACTTGAGATCTACACAACATCTAAGCACAAACACACTTCATCTCTGGCACATTGTCTTACCAGTTCCTTCTTGTCTAGAAGGGTTTTGGGTTGCTCTTTCCTTTGAAGCTGATTGGCTATCTGCTCAGCCAATGAGCTCACTCCGCCTGTGTACATCTTTATGTACTTCTACCAGATGGGTTGAATAAAACAAGAGTGATGTGAGAAAAGAAAAAAAGAATCAAATTAAAAAAAAAATAACTAGAATGATGAGAGGTTAGGGGGTGGAAGGTGCAGAGAGGTCAAATCATGCCAAGACAGTGGACAAATAAAGTGACAAGTAGTAATAGCAAAGCCAGTGTCATCAGAAATCACCAGTACAGTCCAGGATCACCTGTAGGAATGGACAGGAAGGCTTGTATTTTGCATTTTTTAAGTGTTCCAGAAATACTATGATGATGAAGGAAGCAGATCCTGTTTTCATCTGTGGGATATTTTGTCCCTGAAAACTTGAGTATAGACACTTGTAAAAGATGAGGCTAAATATAGGTTAGATTTTAAGTTCCAGGTAAAATTGACATCAGAAACAAAGATCTTTTAGAAGGCATGTTACCAAGTCTAATGCAACATGTTGATTTACAACAGTATATTTGTGTACTTTGCACCTGGAAAGAATTAATTTACAGAACATTCACAGAGCACGGAGAAGTCCTTAACTAAAGAACTCACAGTGAGTCAAAAGTATTAATTCTTCCAGTGGTAAAAATACTCAGAGTTTTAGATGGAAAAAAAGATGGAAGAGTCTTCATCCAATGCATTAAAGCCATACCTGCATACATCTGGAACATATATTTGTTCAACCCTGAACATGGCTTTATGACTTGGCTTTTCTCCACCATGGGCACAGACTGACTCTGTAACTCTGGCTGTCTAAAAACCCTCCAGTATTTTCAGCAGTCTAGGCAAGTTGGCTGTTACCTTAGATGGTACCAAATGAGTGTCTGCAAGCCAAATTCAATCACTGCAGGAGTGGGGAAAGTGTTTTTCACAGGAAACACAAACAACTGGCAATAATTACATGGTTAAGAAAATGAGGTGGTTACATCCACGTTAGCTCAATCCCACTGCAAACGCCACGGATTTGACTCGGAGCAGCAAAGAGCACGCCAAGCAACTTCCCTTTTCCACACTAAGCAGCATTATGAATGTTTCTAGCTGGATTCTCAGCTAATACAGGATCAGAGAGCCACTCAGCTTCTAGCAAGTGTGAAATGCCAAGGATAACAAAAGGAAAGTTGTATCTTAAAACCCCCTTTACTTATAGCAAAACTTGCTTGAAGCACAGTAGTTATTTCCCTCAACTAATAACTAATTTAATATGTGTGGTTATTTTAGGAATGTTTAAAACCTTCACAAGTTCAGACAGGAGAACAGCAGGAAGCATCAGAAAAATTGAAATTCAGCACAGAATGGGTACTTCTTTGGGGAAAAAGATTATGAAAATGGAGTGCTCAGCCAGAGATTACTGCTGCTGTCACTACAGTCCTAATTCCTTAAGCTCCCTGTCACTGCAGCAACGAGGGGAGGGTTTATTTCTACCCAGAAAGAATTTATACCTGTCTACTGATTCCATTCCAAGAAGTAGAACACTTGCAGCATTTCTATATGCAAGAAATAACAAATGATTTGTCTTTGAGTCTCCCAGGTTCCATGTGTTTCCAAGTTCCACATACATATGCACAGAGTTGCTTTTCAATGACATATATCTTGTCAAACATTACATTTTAAATGGTGCTCACTTCTAAAATTTTCTTCATCATTGACTTTTAACTGGCAATCATAATAATTTGGCCAAGAGTTTTCAGTTTCCTCTGAATGATCAGAGCTTTTGAGGCTTTTTGAGTTTTCTTAGAAGAGAGATGAAGCATTTCCAGGGGAAAAGCTTCCTTCTAGCTGAACCAGGTTTCCCCTGATCAAGCTTTGATTTGAAACCTTCAACTGCAGATCCTTCAGGATCTTTAAATTTCTACCAGCACATAAGCAATTCCATGCTAAAAAATGAATATGTTAATATTAACTCACAGTACCCTGGACTATTTGGTGTGAGAAATTTATTTGCTGAATTTTTAATTTGAGGTTGTGTGTTTCTGATTTGTTTTGCTTTTTCTGCCTACATACCACATCTGGCCTAATTATGGATATTAAGTGAAGCATTTTCTCTTTCTTTCCATGGTCTTCCAGACACAGCATTCTGCAACATTTTCAAAAGCATGCAAAGAACCTGCTCCAGGTTAGGTCAAATCAAGTTCCTGCTGTTCATGTAAGACAACTGTAACTAGTTCAAATTCTCAGTGATCTTTCAAAAAGCCAAAGCACTTTTTATTTCACACTGTCCATTAACCACATATGCACAAACACAATCTGTTGTTTAGCCCAAAACTTCAACAAAAGCAGCAAGCAAAACCAGAAAGCTTCACTGCAAAGCCAGAAAGACTATCAGTGCTCAAAACCCCTGGTTTGAGTGAGAGGTGCACCACAAACTTCTCACAGACACCAAATGTTACAAACATTTAGTTTCAAACTGCTTTATGGCTGGCAACACCCGAGCTGTGCCAGGCACAGGCTGCCTCTGGCTTCTCCTTTGTGCAGGGATAAGCACAGAGGCTCTGCAGGTGAAGCAGTGCCAGCCTGGCTGTGTCCTGTGAGTGTCCTTGGCAAGCAAAGGCAGCTGAGTGCACCTGGAGTGCTCAGGTGAGGGCTACCTGGCGCAGGGAGTCGGAGGAGGGTGAGGAAGGGCGGTTGGAAGAGCGGAGGCTAAGGGAGAGCTCCCACTGGTCAACAAAGAATCGGCGAGACGGCTCCGTCTCGGGCTAAAACATAAAATAAACATCAACACAATCATACTTGTGCTTTTCTAAGAGAGAAGAGAAAATAATAAAAAAACCCAGCCCAGGCCTTTCTGGTTATCATCAAGAACAATTTTTTAAGGACACTTACAGGAAAACTTTGAGAAAAATATCCAGGGTATCTTTACTTTCTCCCTAGCGAGGCAGAGTAGTTACTCCAAATTTGCTCTTTATTAGGTTTTACATTATTTAGGACCATTTGGAAGCAGTTACCTACTTCCACAGATGTCCAACCTCCTGTAATTCAACCAACTAAGCCACTGGCAAAGACCCCAAATCAATTTCCTCTGCTCCTTCTGTATCTCCCATTGTTCTCTATTACTGGCCCAAGGCACTGAGATCATCTTTCAGGCCATGTGAGACCTCTTCTTCATTTTAACTATATAAACCAAAAGTCTGCTCTCCTGGGGGATAGAAGAGAAAGAAGTTAGCTTGTATGTATTTCCAGTAATTAACAGCAAATTTCCAACCTAAAATTTACTGTAAACAAATTAGAAACACTGAATAAAGAATGTATCAATATAAAATGATCTGCTGATCTTGATTATCAAATGGCAAAGAATAAATCACAGACTGAGAACCTGCATCCTTCTGAAACTGGTACCTCACAGGAGAACCCAAAATTTGGTCTTCTAATATGTTCTTGTCATTCTCTCTACAAATGATTATGCCCATCCTCCAATAAATACTTCATATAAGTAGGAAAAAAGTTGGAAGTATCAGACAAACAGCACTGGAAAAAACTGTGCATTCCTAAAAATTATAGTCTGGAAACAAAAAAATATGCACATTACAAATAACTGGCTTTCTTTGAAAAATAAATTATGGTTTTAGTTATAAAAAGGAAAACTAAATGTCATGTAACTGCATGACCCATGAAAATAGCTACTTCTAGCCACTTGGAATAGGCTAACCTCAAGATTAAATTTACTGAGCAAAATGCAAAAGAGCTTGGCTTTCACAATTTCCTCAATTTATGGAAATATAATTGTTCATACAAAAATTTTCTGTACATCAACATTTAATCAAGTTTCTTCTCTGAAAATGTCCTTACTTTGCTAAGCCTTCTCTCTCAGTGTTTTTCTTATTTTCTTCTCTTAAATCCCACATCATAATCCATCATTGCTTGCAGTGTTCCAACATCTGTTTCCTTTTTCCTCTCTGCCCTACCCACTTTATGCTTTCCTCTACTATGTGTTCTCAGTCTCTCCTCCTTTTCAATTCTGCACGATACAGAAATTAGACAATTTCAAAAATAATTTCTATCTTTGCATCTCCATGCTCAGAAGGAGCTTAAAAATTACCAGAGTGCCCTACAAAAGGTAGGAGCAAAGTACTTTGGTCTAGATCTTCATTTCTAGATCATCATTTTAACTGAATAAGGAAATGCACATGAGTATTGTGGGCCTTGCTTGAGATATTAAGTCATGGCACCCAATAACAAAGAGGTACCACTTTGGAGCCTTCACAGCTAAAATTTCAAATCTAAAATTTCAAATCTAACCACAGGTTTGATGTTCCTTCTTGGAGAACAGCTCCTGTGATTTTAGCCATCAGAAAAAGATGGCATCCCAAAAAACCCCAACAATATGAAGTGACCTAGATGTCAGAAAATTCTTTTTAGTAGGGCTTGCAAAAGTTCTGGCACTGTTTATGCTCCAGCTCAAGAAGACAGCTTCATTTGGGATGGTTAACTCAAAACAGTTAAGTTATGAAACAAAATCACTTCTGTGCTTTCCAAAAAAGCACTCTGCAGTTTGCCAGGCACTGCTGAAGGTAACTGAAAACAGAGAGCAACCAAAGAAACCACAGTTCAAACTGGCATGCTCCCATAGCCCAAAGACAACAGACTGGGGAGAAAATTAGGCACAAAAACGAAACAAAACAAAAGTGTACACTGCAATCAAAGACAATCTGCACAAACTGCCAGCTCTACCATGGGAAACAACTGCACAGGAAGGATGGACACACAGGTTGTACTACAGAGCCAGGGATTAAGCTTGGAAAATGTGAATATTCTTGCTTCCGGAAGCAAGTAAAATTTGAGAGGGACTGACTGCTAAATGACCACTGTGAGATGACTTGATCCAGAGCCCAGTTGGTTTTCAGCATTTATTCTGAAGTTTACTGGCTGCTTTTTACTTCATGGTTTATATCTTGTTTTGAGGAACAGAAAGGGTCACTCACCAAACAAGGAGACAGCTAAGAAAAGGCAAGTCAAATAAAGACACTACAAATAAAGACAAAAATAGTCTTGATGGCTGTTTCAACCACATGACTGTAGAGCAGTGGTCATCATATTTTGGTGATTCTTTTCTCTCTCTGCCCCAAGATTCCACCTGTACCCAGAATCCCCCAGTGCTCCAGGACACCAGATAGGCAGGGCTGTAGTCACCTGATGCCTCAGTGCACGTCTGGACTCCAGGAGGGCAGCCAGCTGACATGCCCTTTGCTCAACACTCATGGGCACATGGTCATGAGAAAATAAACGAGGAGATCTCTGCGAGACGAGGAAGGAGGCAGGATGTAAACAAACCAGCACAAAAACGAAGGGACACCAAAATGCCAGCCAAAAGGTATGACATTCACATGCACAACAGTAACAGAAGCTCTCATGTGAAAACTGGAAGGTTTTTTTCCCCAGTGTACTTTTCTAATGAAGTGCTACATTTTGACCCTCAGGGGCAAGAAAAAAATGGTTACATTAATTGTTATTCACAACTCTTCCTAGGACTGCTGCAGCCAAAATCAAACAAGCACATAGCCTTTCTCTCTGGCATTACCATCAAAAGAGAATTTTAAAATGTGGCTTTATCATGCACAAAGGGCCTTATTTGTCAGTTTATTTCTCCACAGTTCTGCATTCTCTAGGATTTCCTTTAAATATCTCAACCTGTACCTATTTGTTTCTCAGATTCTGTGTACAGAAACACATTTTAGGGTAATGTATTTTGATTTGCATAAAGAATGAATTAATTTCTTAAAGATGGTGGAATATGCAAAGTAAATACTCCACATGCCAAAGAGAGCAAGTTTAATGAGCCTGTCTAAATAAAACAAAGAACAGCAATATCAGACACTCACAGAAGCTGCCAGTTTTACTTGTGCAACTTCACTGTCCTACTTGTTCTTATTGCACTACCATGTCAATACACCCTAGGCACAATATTTGACACCTCTGCTATTCTGGTCTTCCATATCAATGTTCCTAAAGTGTTGTGTGGTGCACTTGGTGACATGGAAAAAGACCTGGCAGGTGGCCTGCTATATAAGTTAGGACTATCACTGCAGTACCACACAGCCTTCAGCTAATTTGTTTGTGGAATACAAAAGTAAATGGACAGGAATTACAAACACGTGCATCAAAAAATCTGAGGTTGATCTGTCAAGAATGCCAGGGTGTAGCTCTGTATTACTAATTGTCCTCCAATGCAGAACAGAAAACTGGGTTCACACCCAGTTTACAGGAAACACTCTTCCCATTCAGATCCATTAACTGTACTCTCTACTTTCAAGCTGCTTTCTGTTCCACCTACTCCTTCCTACTAGATCATTTTCACTAAAACTGGGGCCTGTTATGAAGCTGTGGGCTTCTGTGTCATTGCAGACACGTGTATTCATTTTCAACTGCCTGTCAGAAAACATTCAGCCCACAAAAGGCTTTTGTTAGAACACATTCTGGAAGTTGCAACAGTTTTATTGCTGGCTCCCATTTATGACTTAATTCATTCAAAGCCTGTACTGGAATGTCAATTAATTTGTCAATATGAATTCAAATCAACCGGTCCTTTTGAGTGCCTATCTTTTCTTTTCCCATGCTTCTGTATAATACTGAGCCATTCAGACAGACAGTTGAATATTTCATTGTTAAGAAGGCTTCAAAGTCTCTATACTAAATAATGCCTCATCATTTTTCCTTTTACTTTGGCCTGTAGGAGGCAAGATGGAATGCCAGTTGTTTAACCATCCAGAAAGCAAGCGGTGAACACAATGCAACCACGTTTGCATCAATTAGCACAAAACATAACTCTTCTTGTTCTGCTACAGCCACAGCATACTTCCCTAAAGAGGTGTAAGAGACAAAGAAGAATGAGAAGAACTCAAGTGCTCGACCTAGGGCAAAGTAAAAGCATATAGCAGACTGCTGATGAAGGCTTGTTATGCATTTCCGTGGGTGTCACACAGGAGGGATGGCTCCTGGCTGACTCTCAGCAGTTGCAGCGTGTTAACAGCAGCATCAGGATAAGTGTGCTTCACCACCCCCTGTATCTGACCTCTGGATTGCACACATCCACCACAGCTTTGTGTCATCAGCACCCATGCCATTTGTTCATGCTTTTTTACCCTTTCCTGTCTGGGCCTCAGATCCCCGGGATAGCCAGCACCAGGTTCCCTGAATCTCTGCAGGCAACAAATGATGAGCTTAAAAACAATCACAGACCAACTTCCTAATCAGAACACACTTTATCTGATTTTTCTTATGATGCAGGCAGAAAAGAAGCCACAACAAGAGCAGAAGTTTATTAAGAATAATTTAAACCTGGCAATAACAAGTTGGCTCCGATAGAGAAGTTTTTTTAAAAGTATATATTTATATTAGGTCTATAAACAACAACATAGTACCACAATGTATTCAAATTAGTGCAATAAAGATGGTAAGGCACTCAGTATAACTCATACTGTGATGTTAGTTCAGAGGAAGGAGATGGAGAGTTTAGAAGAAGTGGCAGGATAAATGCAGTAGAAGAGCAGAATTAAAGGTTTTAAAAGACATCAGTGTAACATGGATACAGATCCATCTGACTTGCTATGAGGCCTGGGCCAAGACAATTTTAGGGAAAAAAAATCATTCCTAAATGATTCCTAAGGAGAAAAAATGCCTCCAAAAGCAGATTACTCTGACTGAGTCTAACATCCGTTCTGTAGGACTTTTATCAGAGGATAAAAATTCCTGAGTTAAAAGAAGGAAGACTTCCATAAAACACAACATAGAAAATGGTCAAAACACACTTGGCAGTAGCTGGCTTTCATGACTGAACTAGGCAACCAAAAAGACACAGGACAAACACTTGGAGAGGTGACAGAAGGAAAATATCAAGCTACAAGATCCTGTGAGTGAAAACAAATTCCTCTACCTGGAAAATGAATCCCACACTATAGATTAGAAGGTAAAACTCAGCATTTAACTGCCTTTGTTTCTCCATCTGTAAGGTTGGAGAAAACCTTTCCTCTTTCATAAAATGTATCCAACAAAATTTTCAAAGGATTTTGAGACAAGGCAGGCAGCTAGCTATCACATCATCTGCTAATATTACACTGCAGTGTAAATGCAGGTTTTGCTCATGAAAAGAGCTTTCCTTGCCCATTCTACCCAGATGTTCTTTCCTGCATCCTTCTTGAATAGGCTGTTGTTCACAGCATGGCAGAAACTCCCTTTTTTGTTAGGACAGTTTCAAATGGGATCAGTAGGCAGAGCTGATCAATCTTGCAGATGCAGACACCACAGAGGCAGCAAAGAACGTGTGTCCTGGAGGCTGACAATAATTAGACCAGATAAACTGCAACATGTAATTAAAAATTTGAGAAATCAGCAATAAGGCAAGTCAAACTTTCTGCCAAACAATATTACATGTCTACTCTGCTAAAAGGTAATGCTCCTTTACAGTTTATAGGCAAAGACAGCTCAGCTTCACCTCTGGGGAAATTAATTTGTACAATCCCTGTGTGATGTCATGACAGCTCTATGGGACTGCAACTGCCTTTTCAGGACCTCTAGCTCAGGATTGATCAAGAAGTAGGTTTGAAAGTAGGAAAATTAAACAATTTTAAAGGATACAATTCAAGCACAATGACAATATACAAGAAGACAGAAATATTAGAAGGATTTCAGGAAATATGTAACTGGGACAACAAATACATGTGCACAAACATCTGGATGCACATTTATACAGCGTGCTCAGAACAGCTCTCATTGCTCCAGGTTCAAAGCCAGACTGAGAAAAGAGCCTGGTGTGGGAGAAACAGAAGGACCACAGTGGACATGTGAAGGCCACTACAACACTCAAAAGCCACTTCAGATAAGCAATCCTATAAAAGTTTAATGGATACAAGAGCAATTTTTCAGTCATACCTATTTAAACAGACAGTAGAGATGGAACAAAATTCAATTTTCTTTCCCTGCATTACTCCAAACTTTTAATTTCTACTTTGCTGCTTCTCAAAACTGAGAAAGGATACTGTGATAAAAAATCTGCCTACAGCAAAATCTCAGTCTCCAGTGGAGACTCTTCATGCTTCCAGTGAGTTAATGCTGCCTTATCTTCCTAACCTAAAAGATTGAGAAATCCCCATCAGCACCTGAAAGAAAGAAAACTGCAAGTGTATTTGTAAATAAGCTGTTTGGTAACTGAGCTAGTCATTTCTACAAGCAGCAATGAAGAGAAAGGGACAGAGCATGCAGAGGGAATCACCTGCTGCCTGGGATACGATGGAGAGGAGGATGGAGTGGAAGAAGAGAGCATGATCACTTTTTTGGGGCAGGTCCGAGAACGTTCCTTATGCCTCATCTTTTTTTAAAACAGAAAAAGAAAAAAAAAATCATAATAATGGTAGAAAAGAGGTAACATTAGCAGTGGTTTGGTGAGACAGGCCAGAATGCATGAACTGAGACCATGATCTTAAGCTCACACCTCTCTCAAATTAGCTAAAGCCACAGTGTATCTGAAGCTGAGAGACCCAAGTTTTTACTCAGACCCACACAATCACATTTGACAGTCAGTGAATACAGATTTGTATCAATCAGCAATTAAACCAACAGCTTTTGAGTCAAGGTCTTACAATCAGTTAAAGGCAAACTTGGAACTCTCCTTAGCACAACTGGACTGCTCTCTTTGCTTCATGAAAAATTACTTATTGCTGAGCCTTAAAATGTTTAAAAATATCCATCCTGTTGACCTAATTACTCCTGCTTGCAGCTCATTACTAATACAATTCAAGCCTCAGTGTTCTGCTCCCATATTCAGACCCCTCCTCTCTGACTTACAGACATTACACCATCTCAGGCAAGCTAAAATGTACTACATTCTGTTGGAACAGAAATCCAGCTGGTTTATAGATAAAAGGGAGCTGTATTTAATAGTCTGCATATTACACAATGCACATACATGTCCTCAGTTTAACACACCAGAAAACATGCCCATCTAGTGCTGTGTAGAGATTTTCTCCACCATTTCTTGTTTATTAATGAGCCTTCAGCCTGATTTTTCTTTTCCTGTTGAGTTCTCACCAGAGCATATCTGGAAATGGTTGCAGTGGGAAAAAACAAAATGCTGTGTACCCAAAGCCAGGGTTAGATAAGGCTCTAAAAAACTGCACGTGGTGTAGAGATATTACAGACGTTTATTACTGCCCTTGCAGATGAGCTGGCACTAACATCGTTTGGGGGCTCTCTTCCTTTTCAAAAAAACAGTCAGATAAATAGTACACTCCTCTATCTCAAACAGATGCTAAAAGCAGCTTAAACTGAAGCATATGACTTTGCACTGCAGTGGATGAGGAACATTTATATGTTGCTTCAAAAGGCTTAGCTATGAAGTCACTAATTTCTAACTGAAAGCATGGCAACATTCTCAACCACAGAGCTGCTCATGGATTTTCATCTGTCCATGGCCAAGTTTGCATTTCTAATGTCAAAATTTTCACAAACTTGCTTGTTTTTCCAAGGCAAATCTCAGAATATAATATTGGATGAATGCATGAAGTATGTGTTCCATCAGTCCTCCAGCAGAATGTATTTCTGAGCATGCAAAGAAAAAGTTGACTATAGGAAAGCAGAAAATAATCAACATATTTAAATAAAAAATTAAAGGTAAAAAAGCAGTATTTGCAGAAGTCATTGGTGTTTTAAGTTCTCTCCTGTTGAGGTTTCAGCTCTTGCTGCCTGTAGTCATCTCAGTCATCACTTATCTTCAATAAACACAGTTCCAACAAAAGTACTGCAAAGTTTGCACTTCTGCCCTTTGTCACACTTTAGGGAATGGTCTCAAAAGAATAAGCAGCAGATGTCCAGAGGCAGAAAAGATGTGCACCAAAAGACATGGGATCTTCATCTTACAAGTATCTTTCTACACATCAAACATGATTTAAGCTCATGTATGACACACAAAAGCTGTTGCTGACAAGAGACCTACAGAACAATAGAAGACTGCTGAAGGCTACAAGATGAAGGTCTGGAAAACCAGGGCAAAATTCAGTTTAAAAGGCTTGTCTCTCACACTATGCCCAGTGAGATCCTCTTCTGGATAGCCCATATGACTTTCAATGGCTTCATGATCCTGGATGAGATGCTCTTTCCCAGAAGCAGCCAAAATGGCTCAGAAAGCATAGAGAACATGATGGAAGATGTTCTTATACAAGCAGGCATTCATTTGAGGAGATTAACCACCACACCAGGAAACACAATCCAGTCTTTCTAGGTGATATTACTATAATATAAAAAAATATGTATTTCCACTGTGCACATTCACTTCTCAATATCTTGATGCATCATTAGATGCTGCTGTGGTGCTCATAAGATCACAAAACCAATTTTCACAACAAAAGCTAACGTACTCAAAGTGTAACTTAATAAATTCAACTTTTTAAACCAATTCACAAGGTATGCAGGCCACACAGAATGCTGTGAGGAGCAGATTGGTGAGGTTTTTAACCCCTTTGCTCTTTGGAAGGTATTGCCCTTCCAAGAGAGACAGCATTAAAAATCATGTGGACAAAGTAAAAACTGCTTCAGAACAGATTCCTCCAGCATTTCACTCATTCCAGGAATTCTCTCTTAGCAAGATACCTCTACCTCACCTATACAACACACAGAGGTATCCTGCCTTACAAGCTCAAGGAAACTGCTCACCTAATATCTTAATGCAAGGGTAAAGCAAGATTCTAGATTTAAACTGGTAAGCAAGTACAGCTAAGGACCTTCACCTGACAAACACCAGCAGGCAATACCCCAAGGCACATGCCAATTTGTCATCAGAACTGTCGGTCCAACCCAGACCACTTCCTTTGGAATTCTCTTCCTTGGAACCACTCTTATGCTTTTGCAATATACTTTCCTCTTCCATGCAGTTTCCAAAAGACTGGAAGAACCAAACTTGTCAATCATACAATTGCCCTTCTCCCAAAGAGAGGATCTCAACTTCATTTTGCCAGCTAGTAAGAACATTAGGCAACCTGTGGTTTCTTTCAGTAACACCCAACACCTCCCTTAGGAGCTGCTTTGCTCCTCTGCAAAGCACTCTCCCCTAGAAGGTACTTGCTTGTGATATATTCAGTCAGTAGCAGAAGTTTCTGCTCCTGAACTTCAACGCCTGTGCCAAAAGAGAAGCCTTTCCAAAAGCTTCATGAACAGCTCTTTCTAGCAAACATATATCATCCCTAAAGAAATTGGCAGAAGCAATAGTAATCCTTTAGAGTATGAGCAGTGATAAAGTTCTGGAATGGCTGCCCAGGGAGGTGGTGGAGTCGCCATCCCTGGATGTGTTTAACAAAGCCTGGATGTGGCACTGGGTGCCAGGGTTCAGTTGAGGTGTTGGGGCTGGGTTGGACTCAATGATCTTGAAGGTCTCTTCCAACCTGGTCATTCTGTGATTCATGACAGGTTCTGGTATTCAGCAGCACTTCTCTGTTGGCAGCCTGTCACCCAGGGATGAGATACAAGCCAGAGTGACCAATGTCACCACAGAAGACCAGTCCAGCACCATCAAAAGGTGCAGTCTCACAACTATCAGGTTCTGCCTGCCAACGCAACCAGAACCAGAAATCTCAGCAGCCAGCTGAGGTACTGCTCCAGCAACAACTTCCTGCAGGAAGGGATTTCTGTCCAGGCTTGGCAAAGCTGGCTGCTTGGCTCAGTGGTCTCAGCTGTCTCTGTTGAGTCAAGAATAAATGGCTCTATGCACATCCATGGCTTTTGAACAAAGGTAACCCATATTCTTCCCTTCCCCAGGCACACAGGGAGGAACCTTTGAAACAGGGACCCTGTCCGTGGGGTTTTGATCCTTCTGTACCCTGCAGATTTTGCATCCTTCAGACCCAGTTTTATACTTCTTCATTACAAAAGCACTGCAAATCCTGCAAGACATCTGGACCCAGGAATCAATCATCTTCTGCTGATGCAGTAGAACTAATCAGGGAAAGATCATCTCCATGTGCAACATTGAGAGGGAAATCATCCACACAGGGAAATCAGTGTTGAAAAAAATAATTTAAATCCTCTGAAAGTAAAATTGTTGCAGAAAGATTTTTCAAAGATATGCCCTACACTTATTCCTATACAGACATGCTATCAACGTCAAGGAACAGCAGAAGGATTTTTTCTTCCTTTTTTAAAATTTCTTTTGAGTTGTATAGTGCAGGTATAAACAACAAAGGAACCCAAAAACAATGCTCCCTGGTGAGGAGAAAAATCCTCAATAAAAACAGGAAATAAAACTTTGTCTTTTTTTTTATCAATGACAACAGAAAGACAGCCAGTGCAATCCAGTTTTTCTTTTTCTAGGAGGTAATATAAGCAGTGCTCATCAACTCACTTAATACTGTACAGCTTTTTTGCTTCAGGGGTTTTTTTCTGCCTTAATAAGTATTCTTGAGAAATAAAATTTGCCTTAATCATGAATTATGTGAATCCATCTCAAAATGTTCATTAGCCTTTAAAGAAGATTTTGATGAGACAAAAGGTAGAAGAACAAACACTGAGTCAGGGAAGCAAAGCATCCTGACAATAATTTCCCTGGACTTAGGTCTTCTTCCTGGAAGAGAAATCTTCTAGATCAGGGCACCAGTCATGACATGCAGCATTAATTGTGCTGAATGCCTCAGACACAAAGATCACCATGAATCCATATTCATCAAGAACAGTGAATTTCCAAAGCAGTGTCATCTTCTTCCTCTTGACTCCAAAGTAGTACGCTCTGATTAAACTACAGCCAGAGAAAAGTAGATGTTTCTCCAAATTATGGCTGTCAGCAAAATACCTCTGAGCACTCTCAGAAACATGAGGAGGCCATTTGCACAGGGAAACAGTGGAAGCAGATGAAGCCAGTGAGGTTAAGTATCATAAAATGCCTGAAAAGATTACAGAAGCCTTATTTTTGGAAAGCAAAAATAAGCTGAAAGAAAAACAGCAGCAATGACAATGGCCCAAAACGTTGGAAAGAAAATAAAATTCGATACCAGCTGATTTTTCTGCTGTTGGTCCCTATTCTGTGTAAGAAAAACTAAAATGTACTGAATCCACAGTAACACAGGAGTCTGCAAAGCAACAAGTGTGAGAAGCTGGCAAGGAAAGCTGCATTAAAGCAAGGGAAACCACAGGAAAGTCTCCTGCAACTACAGAACACCTAAGATTTCACATAGGAATAGCAAAACTGATAACCAATTTTACTATTTATATGAAGGAAGAGCTTTAATATCATAGATGATAAGACATCTTTACCTCATAAGTTTCCATAATTGGTTACAGGTTTCTCTTATTTCTAACAAAAGAATCTAGAAATTCTATAGCAAAAATTTCTGCTGCAACATCCATGAAAGTCTTGATAAGTTGAAACTAGCATAAGAAGGCAAGGAAAATTTGATTAAATATTTTTTGAAACATTAAACCATACATCATCACCAAAGGGAGATGCTGACTTTATTCACTGGAAGTTATTTTAAGTAACAGACTCAGACAAGGTGCTGGAAAAGGACTGGCTTAAAAACACAACAGTGATGGGTGAGGAGGTGCATTGTAGTGAGAATGAGTTTCTTTACCTGTTTCCACTGGGGTATGGGGGCAAGCCGGCCCTGCTCTCGTCTGCTGGATGGTTGGCTGTGGACACGCTCTTGGTAAGGCAGGACAGGTGGCTGCATGCAGGTTGTAGGGAAGGTGGGACCAAGGAGGAAAGATAAAATAGTGAAGGAAACTCAAAGAAAGCCATAGGAATGGAATACAGAATAAGACAAACATTTAAGAAAAAAAAATAGGGAGGGGGGAATTCATTTAGCAAGTAAAATATAAAAAGGAAAAAAACATCCAAAAATGGGAAATTTCACATATTTTTGGACCTTTCCTTTCATTTCATTGTTTCTTCAAATCATTGGCTGAGTATGCCAGCCAACGTGTAGCAGCTGAAGAAACATTTTATGGTGTGGATAGACACGGCCATTCTGATTATGTTACACTACTAATGCTGATATGTAGTGTGGCAGAGACAAATCTGAGCTGGCTTTCAAGCAGCCAGGTCAGGTCCCACTCACGATGTGGCCATGGCACAGAGCTTGGCACAAGCTGTGGGGATGGACTCATGTAGCAGAGCAAGGACTCTGGCACTTAAACCACACTGAGCCTCATCCTGCTGACACTGCACTGCCAGCAGCAGCTTGAAGTGACTCAATCTAACTTCAAAGACAACTAGGCTGCAGTTGCAGCAGCTCAGATACCATCCTGGAGAACAAATGAGCCTCACTTGGAATGACACAAACACCCTGATTGCCAAGAAACTCCCAGGCATTTATCTGCTGCACATACACACGTACAAAGCTTAATCACAGTTCACAAGAACAAACAGATGTAACCTGATATGAAAATGTTCAAATAAGAAATCAAATGGTTGTTCTTAAACAGCATAAGGAGAACATTCCTGGAAAGCTTTTAAAGAGCAATAGTAGTTGTAAAAGAAACTCAATTGCTGGTCTTCTCCACCTGTACTTGTAAAATTTAAGCTTTGGGTAAACTTCACTCTTCTTTAGGAGAGCCTTTGAAGTAGAAAAGCAACACTAGCATCCAGTCTTGAGGAATGCATGCTATCATCCATGGTTTTCCTCTACAATTCCAAAACAAAGGGGTTTATTATCCATCTCCTACCTGTCTTCGTAAGTGTGAGGACGGCACTGGTGCATTCTCTTCAAACTTGGCCAGCAGCTGGGTTGCCATGGACTTGACTTTGTTCTGATTCCCAATGGCAGCATCAATTCTCCTCTCTGTCAGGGCACTCACCAGTGTGGGCCTTTCTTCTCTGTAGCTTCGTGGGAGGTCCTCCTAACAATCAGTGACATCAAAATTTAACAAGATACAACCAGATCACCTTCTCCTTTCTACCCCTTTGCTGTGAAAAGTCTCTTACACTATAGATAACAAATCTCTTAGCCTCACTTGAAAGCTCAGATTTTAATTTCCTTTGGCAAGTCATCAAATGTTCTGTTAAACTTTACTGATCTTTTCCATCTTATTTGATATCTACCAAAAAGACCTCAGCTGAAACATCCCTGTGAAGCCCTTGACATAAACCAAAGGCTCATCTTCAAACAAACCCAAAGCACTGAATTTTAATTCACCTGTACCCATTTGGCTACAAACACTGAATTTGAAAAACTGCCTTGTGGGCATACTGGAAATGTATGCTTTATGCACAAACCAAAATTAAATTTTAAACATGTGTCAAGCTTCTGACAATACCACACGACTTCACTGAGAAGTCTTGAGTGTTGATGCCCTCACCAAACCATAGTAATTTGCAGTAAAAACAGAACATCAGGGAACTGCAACATTTCATTGGTTATGTAGTATTCTTTTATAAACATTAGTAAAACATTTGCACTAAAGATACCATGAAAATGTAACCTCTGAAGAAGAATTAAATTTTATCTAAAAAATCCTATATAATCCCTGCCTGGATACTAAAAAAATGAAAGAACTGAAGTGGGGAAAAAGGTACCTACCATTTATTTTGCTCCCTGACACATCTCACTGTAATACTTACATCCTCAGATTGGCTGGTTTTCCTCCTCTTTCCTGCACCATCCAGTTCCTTTTCTTTTTTGTCCTGAAAACAGAAGGAGTAGGGGAAAGAAAACAAAAATAACTCTCACACCTCTCTGGGTTGAGATAAGTGTCATCAGTGCTCTTACATCAGTTTAGTTCCAAAGCTTATTTAATTCCCTGTGCTCATTCTCTATTTGTTTAAGAGTTTTTTTCCTAGATACTCCTAAGGGCATTGTAACCTTCAATTGGAAATTCTTCAACATTTTCAAATCTCAAAAAACTGAGCAACTAGCTATGTTCCAAGAGAAAATATATGCCCAAATACTACCACAAGGCTAAGCTTTTAAGACTGAAATACACCTCTGAGAGTACATACTACAGATGTAATTTTACATTCATAAATGTCGTGTATCATCCCATACCAAGAGCTGGTGAACACATGGTCTCTTGCAAACTAACAAACACTAACCCCTGCATTTTTAGCACCATGCTTGGACAGCAGGCTGCTGTCCAAGTGCCTCCAGGGCTGTGCCTGGTTACCTTGGGAGTGCGCTTCCGAGAGATGCTTTGTCCCAGTTTGCTGAGGAAGGAGATGGGAGACTTGGTACTGGCAATCAGGGCAGCCTTTTCCTCTGCATTCAGCTCCAGGCTATCTGTTAGTGACAACAGGCACAACAAGGCAATGCCATGAAGTTCTTTTCTGTGGTGCTGTAATTAAATACTCAACTGAAGGACAACTGATTATTTTTAATGTAACAATCTTATTCTTGAATTCTCTGTAAAAAATTACTAATGTCTAGAATTAATGCCTTTCTCAGCTATTCTACTCTTTCCTTTTGCCCAAAGCAGTTCTTTCAGGGTTTATAATAACCCATAACAGATGCTGTGTTTACTCTATTTACTTTCACGTTTAAAGAGCATGATTTAAAGAACATGAACATCAGTATTTTTAAAAAGAGTCCAGAATTTTAGAAATAATACATCATACATACTATATTTTTAAAACGCTATTAAACCAAATTTTTCCCCTCACCAGAGAGACACATGTGAATTAAGATCATCAGTAATAAAGAGCTGTAACAACATTATCAATATTTAAAGACTGGCCATATTAATTTGGGTTAGGTAATTACATCTTTCAGTTCTGATCAAAGATGCTTTGTTCCTCAGTGGCCTGAAGTTAGTCTCACCATTCACAGATGATAAATAGGTATAAAACTCAGCTAGTGTTTTGAAACTACCTGTTCAACAACTACTAGCAAGGCACATTAGCTAAGACAAACAAGAGTAAGAATGCAGAAAATTCATCTAGTAGTGCTGACGTGAACTTTTGAGGACATTATTGTATATTAACTCCTTATTTTGCTCCTGCTGCTGCTAACATGGTTTTTATCAGCACCAGTAACAAGTCAACATTTGTAATGTAAAGCTACAGTGAGTAACTACTCAATGTGCTCATGCAGAAGCAGCATGAAGGTAACTGAAGCACACACATTCACCCTGGAGCAGCCTTTAAATCCCACAGAAGTGCCCCAAACTGCTTACCACTAGAGGGGATGGTGTCTTTGAACATCTCATAGAACTGTGTGAGGTACATCACCATGGACAGCTTATCTGGCTCTCCAACAGATGCCATTTCCTTTCCAGTCATAATGGGAGAGATCCCAAACTCTTTCTCAGCGATGTCAAAGGCCAGTTGGTTGTTCTTCTCCACATCATGCTCATCCAAGGAATCAAAGTCTCTGCAAAAAAGAGGCCTTCAATTTCTACTGAATCAAGTAGAAATCAGCATTCTGAAAGAACTCAGACATCCACTTTTTTTTTTCTCCTTTGAAATCTTAATTTTATTTGCCACCAGCATAGCAAAGCTGATGCTACTTAACTACAGTGAACTTTGGTTCAAATATATGCTTTTAAAATTTGTTTGCTCCTCCTAAACACCTAGACTTTTCTTCTTAAAAAGCATCATCCTCTGAAATACATCTCCATTTCCTTCTTTGCTGAAAGACTGTATGGTGTCCCCTACAGAAAATCTTCTGTGTACTTGGAACTAAATGAAATCTTGACTTTTTGTCCCCTCTTCTCTTGACTGATCATATTTTTGTCCTGCTGGCTTTCTCCAAAACTTGTATAACTATATGAAAAACTATTGCTTGTAGAGAGTTACATGAAGCATTTTAAAAACTGTTTGAACTCTCCACAAGCTATAAAGGTATTAAACAGTGTAGCTCAGGTTCACTCAAGTACACCAATATAGAAGTAATTCAGTGCATATGGATCGGTATAACTGCACAATTTTTCAGTGTGTTTTACAGTGGATTATGTCTTCAAGTACAGCTCTAGAGTTTACTTTTTCTGATGTCCTTTTGTGAAGTTGGAGACATTTCAGATTGAAGTACCAGAATCTTTGCTATCATCACTTTTTGCAGCCAGTGTTTTCCCATTCTAGAATCTGGGCACTGTTTTACCCAATATATCACTGAAGAGGACACCTCTGCCATTCACCCAACCACCAAGTCAGTGTGCAAACAGTAACAACCTCTTTATTTAGGCTGTGGGTCACTATTTTAGAAAGAGCAGCCTGAAAGTCTTTAGGAAGAGCTGCTTTGTTAAACAGGAAATTTATAAAGGACCATGCAGAGACTTGTTCACAAGAGATTTAACTGAAGCTATGAACTGTTCCTTACTCACTTCACACATAAAATCTGTCAGTCAATAATGCTTTCCAGTCAGTACCAATTTGAAGCTTAATTCTCCCAAGTCATCCAGAAGGGAAAATGACAACACATTTATTTTCGAATTCATCAAGCTATCATAACCTTCCACTCTGCTAGTGAATCACTGGATGTTGGTTTCTCACAAGTTTAATTGAATTCATTTCAATCTATTTCTTCATAAGTCACAAATGCACTGCCTCCAACAGCATATTATTAGTTCCAAACAGCACTAATTTCCTGCTCTTCCCAGTGATTTGAAGCAGCCTATTACTCACATTAGGTCTGGACGGTATCTGTGGATAATGGCACACAAAGCTAAGCCACTTTTCCATGACATTGTCAGATCTGTCACATTAACACCAGCATATCCATCAGTCTGCCTCTGGCACCAACTGAGCAATTTACTAGAGCGAGCTACGGACTCTGTAAAAAAAATAGCACATTTCAAAATGGAAATGAACAACAGCTCAAATTCTAAGTACAACACAAACCCCATGAATCAACAAGCAAAACCTTAATATAAAAAACAAGCTCCTTCTACAATGGGTAATGGAGGACAGGATTCTTATTTTCTTTTAAAAATACTATCAATATCTATTTTGAATCCAAGAAAGTATTTTTAATTTGCTGGAAAGTAATTATCTAAGTTGTAACTTGCCAGACTTTTCACCCTAGCTATTGTAAAAGAGCCCCAGGAAATATAAAACAGTTGCAAAGGCTTGTTAAATATGATCAAAAGGACATACAGTAGCAATGCTCTCTAAAGCCCAGATATACCATTTCTAGTGGAAGAACAGACAAATGTACTTCTGTAACTTCTTCTTCTCCCTTGAAAACTTTCCTTTAAAAGCACTGACCTATTCTGACCTTGTCTTACCAGAAGATCTGATGAGATTGCAGCCTAAAGGGACATGGCTGCAGGGCAAAGAGCAGAGACTACACAGCTCTTCAGCAGTGAAAGGGAGGCTTAGCAGCAAAGAGCCACTCTGGGAATCCCAAAACACTATCTGGGCATCCAAGACAAGGCATGCAAAGGGAAAAGTCTGACATAGCCCTCAGGGTAGAGACAAGGAGACAGCTACTGAAATGCTTATCACAAGGAATCTACTCAGAATAATGCAAGCAAAGTGAGGTTTGATTTAGTTGAGAGATGAGACAAAGAAAAGGAAAGCAGGAGCATGCAAGACTGCACAAGCAATACCTCCTGATACATTTGTAAGAGTTCTGAGTCTACTGTTAGAGTGAACTCAGTCCAGGCTTCTGCACTTCAAGCAAGAGCATTGTTAGAGATAAAGGAGGTGAAAAGAACTGCCTATACAAACAAATATGCTTAGAAAATTAACAGCACTATAAAGCAAGGGAAATAAGGCAAACAAAAATTCCCATGCTAATGGAAACTTGAAAAATTGTAAGCTCAGACTGTTGACAAAACAATTACTGGATACATTTTCCAAATGAAGAGAATGGTTAAATAATATCCTACAGCCCTGCTGTTCTCTAGTTCCTGCACTCATCCAGCTCCAGAATACCAAAAGGAACAGGACAGCAGCCAGGCCTACCATTTCGAGTCAGCTTTGGTGTCCTGGAGTTCACAAAGTTCTCTATCTCCAGGTGAATGTCTTTCAAATCTCCTGTATTATACAAGTGGCGTACCTAAAATGAGACACAAAAATATTTAAGATGATGAATATGCCATGCACCCCAGACACACAGAGAAATAACCAGGAGACAATAAGAAGACATCCCAAGGTACAAAAAGGAAGCTGAGTACATGTAGGTAGCAAAAATCCGATCCCAAGAACCTCACAACAGCAAGGAGCAGCTCACCAGTGCTGAACAGTCCAGCTGACTGCTGCTGCTTAGTGGATACCAAATTGCAATGACAGACTGCTAGACTGGATTATTACAAAGAGAATGCACACATAGAAAACACAAATTTATAGGTTTCCTGTACTATTATATCACACTTAAAATTATCAAAATCAACCATTCCTAAAAATGAATTTGTTCAAGTACAAAAGCCTATTCTTGACTGATTCAACTGCCTTTCACTGCTTCCATGCTACACACACATCACTCTCTGTTCCCAAAACACTGGCACAGCTTCACCTGAGGAAAGCCACTGCAGATTGCAAGCACTCAGGAGCACCATCTGTGACTTACCTGCTGTGGCCTCAGGAAGTTGACGTTGATATTGGGATATCGGGTGGCAGGATCAATGCTGTAGTGGCTGAAGTTTTTACTCACGTTCTCTGGGGTGGTCTGAGGCAGCAGCCTATAAATGCTTTCCCTTGGGAAAATAACACAAAAAAAGTTTGGGGCTTTGTTTTGGTTCATCTGTTTTGCTTAGGCTTTGTCGTGGTTTGGGGTTTTTGGTTTGTTTTGGCTGGTTTGAGGTTTTGTTCTGTTTTTGTTTTTTTTTTTTTTTAAGAGATGCATCACTACTACTATGGCTAAGTAAACTCTGGGGAGATAAACATTCAAATCAGAAATCTAACCACTTCAGACACTGCATAGCTAACAGTCAGCATAACCATATTAAAATCTGCACTTTAATACAACTACAGAATTCGAAAGGAGGGCAGAGAAGAATGCACTGAGCAAAACTGAAGGGGCTGCCCAGTACAATAAAGGCATTGAGATACAGGAAGGGCTCAGGAAGAGGGGCCACCAAGGGGATTGGAGCATTTGTCCTGTGAGGAGAGGCCAGGAGAAATGAGTCTGTTCAATACGTGGAAGAGACAGCTCAGGGAAGATCTTACTGCTGTCTGAAGTGGCTAATGGAAAGGTGATCAAGTCTAGCTTCAACAGCAACATTATTTTCCACACTTTTTTTAAATTCAAACAAATGGAATTTAAAGTATGAACTGTGCCACTGCGCAATTTTAGAAATTATACTATGGTTCCTGATATTCAGAAGCTGCAGTTGCTGAAGTTTAAAATAGGACCTAAAAACTGTTGATTTTACTCACTCCCTCTTCTAATTACCCGAGTTCTATCTCCAAGAGAGCCCCTTGAGTCAGGGGCAAACTGATTAACACATCAGGAACTCAACACTTCAAAAGAGACAAGATGCTGTTTGGCTTACATGAAACAAAGTAACCAAGGACAACATGAAAGATAGCAAGTCACAGCTTCCTTACAAGGAAATAATAAAAAGTATTCACAAGATAATAGGAGACAGCAAGAACTTTTGTATCTGGTACTTTAAAGGCATCTACATCTTCATCTGGTTTGCCATTGAAGGGCTGGTGACATTTAGTCAGGCTCACTTTGTCCATGCAATGTCAATAAGCACCTAAAAAAAGATTCCTCATCTAATCTTTTAAAACTAGGACCAGGAATAGCAACATTTCTTACTCATCCATACACTTCAGTTTATCAACTCCTTTGAAACTTTTTTCTTTAACTGAATTATACCCTCATGCATTCTCTAAAAACAGTGAGAGTCTGTATCTCCCATTCTGTCTACAAATTTGTACTAAAAGAAACTGTAATGAATGATGAGATGTTGGAGGATTGGATTAGAACTGTAAATGTATTCACTTTCTCCATTACCTCTCTGCAAGGACTTCCAAAGGACTGGCTCCGAGCGACCAACTTCGTACCATCCAAGCAGAGTCCATTGCAGCCAAAAATCCCCTGGCTATTCCAGTTCCCATTGGCCAAAATGGCTGATATTAGAGGTTACCAAAGGAAAAAAAAGCAGAGAAAGGAAAAGCGTCACTTAGGGAAAATCTTAAAGAAGTATCAAGTACATATTCAGGCAGTAATCTGCTAGGAAATTGTAACTCAGTAATTAGCTACAAGTTCCACTCCCACTGGGCTAGAGGAAACCAGATGTACAGTGAGCAGCTCAAGAGCTCTCCCAAAGCCAGTGTTCCTCTATTTCCAACAGTAATTCATAGCCTGGGGTGCCTTAACAGCTTCTCTTCAAGACAGCACTTTTTAAACCAGCTACAAAATGCTAACTACCAGCAGACCCACAGTAGGTTCTGCAGAGAGTCAACAAGAAGCAGATGGGACAGACAGAACTTCAGAAAAAGCTCTGCACACATTTTCTTAAGCACAATCATTACCACGCTAAAAATTCTGTTTTCCCAACACTCCCACCCTTCCTTCCAACCTCCCACTTTCTTCTGTAACAACCAGCAGCTTTCCTTAGAGTGCCTCTCTGTCAGGCAGCACGGATCTCAGAGGCTGGTGCTCATTCAGAGCTGACCACGCACCTCCAGGAGGCTGTCCCCGACCAGCGCCACGAGGAGCTGGTGGCCGTTCTGCTCCCGCACCAGGGCGGCGTTCTCGGAGGCGTACATGCACGTGAAGTCAAACATGGCCACGTCGGGCTGCCCGTAGTGGTTGATGGCGAAGTCCAGCGAGGGCAGCTGCTGGTTAGTGGAGAAATCTGCTGCCTCCCGGGCGTAGTTCAGCAAAGCCTCCTGGTCCACGTTCTCCCGGGACAGCAGGACCTCTGTGTCAGCATGGTCCTGCCAAAACCGGCACCGTTAAAGTGCTGTGGTCAAACTCACCAGTTTGTTTTAAGATTGGTATATATTGTAGCTGGCATTAAAATTCTGACAAATCTACTCATACAAATTTGCCTGCTAATTTCTTTCATTCCTAGCTGTGTTAATGCTTCCAGGAGAAAATCTATTGTACTTGCGGGGTTCCCCATGGCAGGAAGGAATGATGAATCTGACTCCATGTTCTCAGAAGGCTAATTTATTTTATATTAAAGAATGCCATACTAAACTATACTAAAGAATACAGAAAGGATACTTACAGAAGGCTAAAAAGATAATAATGAAAACTTGTGACTCTTTCCAGAGCCTTGGCACAGCTTGGCCCTGACTGGCCAATAAGTCAAAACAATTCACATGAAACCAATGAAACAATCACCTGTGGGTAAACAATCTCCAAACACATCCCACAAGTGAGCACAACACAGGAGAAGCAAATGGGATAAGAATTTGTTTTCCTTTATCTCTGAGGCTTCTCAGCTTCCCAGGAGAAAATCCTGAGTGAAGGGATTTTTCAGAAAATATGACTGTGACAAAAATATATAGATCTTTTATTCCAGACAGTAATCAGTCCTGCTTGCATTGCTAACTGTGAAAGGGCTGAGAAACTTTTGAGCATTTTTCATTCCCATAAAATAAGGGAAGCTCAACTAAGCTATTAAACGTTCCTTCAGCGTATTTTATCTTAGCATGAGCAAAACTCCCAAATCTACAAAAGGAGACAAATTTGAAAAGGATAGGTTTTGTAACACTCGTCTGATGGTTTAAAATACTTCAGAAGGGCATTAACTGCCCTTTTAGAACACAATTACATTCATGTTCTAAAATAACAACTGTATAAAAACATTATGTGATGGAGGAAAAGCTTATTTTCCTACTTTCACCTTACCAAAAGTAAATTATCACCACAATTTTAGCTTACAGAGAATACAGGAGAAGGTAATACCCACATGCCGTATCACTCCTTTATCCAGCAAGCTCTGCTTTTTGGCAGTCATGACAAAGTAGTGTGTATCATCCTTGTAGTAGACAATGTTCTCCAAGTCAATGCCTTGTGACAGAACAAAAGACATGGTAATGAAGGAACAAGTTAGGAGTCATGTGCAATAGAAGTTCTACCAGAAGAAAGTAAATTGAAACTGCATGGTTAGAGAGAATGCCAAGCAACTTTCTACCATGGCTCTGGGTGACTTTAAAATCTGAACTGTCAACAAAAACACAGCATATTTCACCTGCATAAAACTACTTTTAAAAAATCCATTTATCATCACTCTAAGGTTTGCATTCAAATGTGGAGTGCAAAAAGCAGAACGCTGGATTCATGACCTCTTCCCATTTAGGGCTTTGATTTCCTGAAAACCATAAATTCTCCATTTCTGAATCAAAATGACACACATCTGCTTTGTACAGCAGAACAGCTACAGTATACAAGAATAGAGAAATCGTATTTCAGAGGCAGCCCTGACTGCCTTGCACAAGATGCTTGTTTCTTGGTTAAACACACAAATCTGAGCTGCAAAATCGCAATTATAAAAACAAATAGTTTATATTTCACTGGAAATCTGTCAAGTGCTGGCAAACCTGTGGCATCTCGGAGATCCTGGAAGAACTTCTGGTTGAAGATGAAGGCCACACCGCTGATCTCTTCTACTTTGGCTTCAGCTGTGGTGTTGCGATTGATGAAGTTTGCTGTGATAGCGATTGCAAGCTTGCCACGGAATTCCTTTCGGCGAAACCCTGCAGGAAGGATAAAGTGGCAATGCTGAAAAGCAAACACACCTTCAGAGAAGGATCAGCATGCCACAGGCAGGTACACTCACAAAGTAAAGGGAGAGAAGGGAACTGATGAGCTACAAACTCCTCCAAAGAAAGAAAGAACAATTGCTTCATCAGAACAGTGTTGTTTAGGGGAAAAGCTCCCCACCTGTCTCTCATCTCTGTTCCTAAAGCTGCAATTTCCATTAACAAAAAAAAAAAGGGATTCTCTGCTACACAGAATAATACTCAACACCTCACTTCCTACACCCAAAGGTAGGAGTGACACTACTTAACTAAAGAAAAAAATGTAGAAAAAATTATCCAGATCAAAAACTCTTATGTCTTTATTAGTTTAGAGGAAGAAAACCAAGACCACCCACATCTCTGCTATAAATGGATTTTTACATGGACTTTTAATCTCCCAATCACTTGTCACCTGTCCCTATCAGACTATCAAGTGTCTTTCCAGATGTTGATTGGTGTGTTAAAGGCCACTTTTGCTCCAACAAATTTAAGAATAACTTCTGTTTGGAAGTGAATTATGAACCATTACCTTCTAAGGTGTTTCTCCTGCCATCCCCTCCAATGATTACTTCAAACTCATACTCAGACACTGGATGGGTTTTGGGATGGACCAGTGCACGCCAACCTATTCCTGTAGATAAACTCCAAGTTAGTGACAATATAAATGGCAATAATAATAATAGGGAAAAAAAAAGATAATAGAAATAATAATTTTAAAAAATAGTTCTTACTATCAATAAATCCTACAACACATGACCAGTCAAGAAACCCTGCAGGACAGCTACACTGATGACAGGGCTATTCCTGAACTCTGCAGCAATTCCACGTGAATCAGAGGCAGACACAACTCTGCTAAAACTCCCCTAATTCCTTTAAGGGCCCCTACAAACTTCTCTACTGCCTATACAATTAATAAAAAGCCAAACTACAAGTAAGCTACATCTCCTGTGGTGATCAGAGAACAGGTTTCACAGCGATACCAAAAGCATTACAAGGATCATTCACCAATATAGTGAATGCAAAGAAAGGAGTTGTTTCAAAATGTTATCAAAATGTTATGTAATAGGCTTAAGTACTTTAGAAGCAATTACAATTTACCATGTCTTGGTCTACTTCTGTGCAGTCCTTCTGGTGACTTTGTTTCATACAGTAACTAATTTGGATTTGCCAATAGAAAAAGCAAATCCTACTAAAAATCCAATCAAAAATGGATTAATAATTATTCTTATTAATGGAGCACGAGGAAAGGACTTAACATCATAAGCAGAGTTAAGGAGTGTGTCCTGTGTATCCTACCACAACTTCCCCCATCTCTACTGCCCATTTCAGTGCTACTTGCTTTCATTCTCCTGGTCCTCTGGAGGGTAAACAAGCCCCCGGAACTCCACATTGACATGGATCTCTATTCCCAAGATCAAGGCAACCTTCAAAAGTATCAGCTGGAGCTGACGGATACCTGCAAAGAAAAAAGCAGATGATAAAAAAATAGAAGGAAAAGAAAAGAGCCCAAGTGCCCATGTCTGTCTGTGTGACATTATTGATACCCTGACAAAGGCCAGCTGCTACTTTCCTCTTCCCCACATGAAATGCTGGAGTTCCCAGCATTTCATCCAGGCACCACTGCTGTGTGAAATCACAGCATGCTAAGAAAATTCTACACAGCTGAAAACCCAGCCCTTTTCAAAGCATAAAAAGTAATTTTTTAGTGTTTCAGTCCCCTAACCAGCAACAAGGGTAACAACCAGGACATGAGCTGCAGGAGAGGGAGGGAAGACAGCACAGGCAGGACTGCACTTGTCACAGATGGCAGAGAGCCACTGGATCAGCCTGGCTGTAACACTGACTGCACCTCCACCCCAGCACCTCTGGGTTACTGAGGGCATAGAAAGCTCCCCGCCACCTCTTCTCTTCAGGTAGCTTTGGCAATGAAAATGAAAATTACAGTGTGCAAACTCAATGAATTTGAAGAAAAACACCTTACTGTTATATTTCAGATACTGAAATGAAAAAATCCTTCACCTAAACACTAAATTTTAGCTGTGCTGATACACAAAAAAAGATAAAATGCATAAAGACAGGAAGAATAAAAATGAAAATAAATTAGAGGGGAAAAGCAATCTGCAAGCTGAAGTTACAAAGAAAACTTCCAGTTTTACCATTTGTTGCCAAATTAAAAAAAAAAAAAGACAACACAGACTGGTGGGCAACACCTGGCTGTGCCTTGTACAGTCAATTTTGGGGAAGAAAAAAGAAAAGAAAAATAACTCCTACTCCACCAAAGCATTCAGCTTTCAAAGAGGACTGATTTAACAGAATATAAAAATCATCAAGATTATTCTCAGTTTTAACACAAACATCTATTTAATCAAAACCTATCTTCATCACTCTCCTGAAAATAAACAAAGCCACAAACTGTTCCTCTTTTCTCCAGACTGAAATTCACAAGAATGTTCAAAAGCATGCACTAGTTTTTCTTTACAAGTTGCTCAAGAGAAACAGAACAATGTGGCAGCTGCAGCAATGTATCAGCAAAAACCAGAAAAATTATCCATTAAAAGAAAAACAACGTTTGAGCTTTAAGTGTACTTTGCAGTGTAGGAAGAAGCTATGCCTTAGGAATGTCTAAGAGATGACAGATAAACACTGCATGCTTTAATCTCATGACTAGCCCAGAATGCACAAAGTAACACTGAACTGTACCACAAAAACTTGAGAGCAGGGACTGTGTGGGCTGAATTTTCACCCTCACCTTCCTCCCCCCAGGAAGAAGCAGTGCTGCTGTGCCCAGCCCTGCCTGTACTTACTGATATGGTCTATGGAGCCTGCACAGAATTTGCCGTAGAACTTTTTGGCGCCGAGGCCCCTGAGGTCGTGGATGGTGAAGGGCCAGAGGTGCAGCACGTTGTTGCGGGAGAAGGCGTCCCTCTTCTCTATCACCACCACCTTGGCTCCCAGGAAGGACAGGTCGATGGCTGTGCGAAGGCCACAGGGTCCAGCCCCAATTATCAGACACTGCAAAACAACCAGCACTGAGTAACTGCACCGTCCTTGGAGGAAATGGATTTCGGCAGCAGCTTCTGAGCATCCCATGGCTCTTAGGAAGAAGTGCTCTTGGTCTGAAACATAAGCTGAAATTTCACATCAGTCTGTTTCTACCTGCTAAGTTCTGCCATTGATAAGCAGAAACCACAACCTGAAAATGAAGTATATTTCAGAGCAGTGAAAAGACTCAGGAAGCAGGCAAGTCAACTGTGTGCTTGCAACCCTTGCTCTAGGAAGAGCTGCTAAGTCATACTCTCCAAGCTACCTGGAGAACAGCAATATTTCTGAAGGCTTCTCCCTCCCCCATTCCACTTGTTTTTCTTAAAAAAACAAAACAGAAAATCAAAATAACCCCCAAAAAACAAAAACAAAACCACTGACAAGTTTTCCTCTCATCTTCCAAACACTGAGCTGGCCTTTCTTAAGAATATCTTCAGTAGTATTGCAACAGCTACAGCAGACAAACACAAGACACTAATGTTTTTATAAACACCATCATTTAGAGCAATAGAATAAAAGAGTAGCCAAGTCAGAGCACAATATTTTATGCCTTTGGTGGTGCTTTGGGGCTTCTACTACTGCAGCAAAGGAGACGTCAGGGAAGTAGACATCATGTAAACAAAACCTTTGTGTGATCAGACAAATCTTTTCTCCAACCTAACCTTTGTCATATGAAAGGTCTTTCACCTTCCCTTATCTTTTTCCACTTTACTCACAAACACCATCAGATGCTAATAAACAACTTGAGAATGTAAAATACGTGCGTGTCTAGTGTTGAAGTACCTTCTGAGAACAGAATGATGCAGCAAAATACTTTCCAATTAAAAACCCAAGATAGTCAGGAGACACTTTTTACCCACAGGAACTGATGTCCACAGAGAAAGCGTTGGTATGTGCAGTCACATAAACACAGTACACAGTCCATTTCTTCATCGTTACTGTACTTTGATTTCTACCGAGTAAACCAGAGACCTTGTTACCCAAGTGGCTGCTGCTGCTACGTGATTCTCTTCCAGATCCTTATGGCTGCACAAGAAAGCTCTTTGAGAAACTCTTAATTATGCCAAAATTTATCTATGAGCCAGTGTTCTGATAAACAACCAATCCCAAAAAGAAAAACTTGGTGTTTGGTGGTCATCCCCACCTGACAATTTTTACAGGCTGCCACGTTCTCACCACTGGGGCATAAACTCTGCAGGCACCATGAAACTGCAAATGTAAAGCCTGAATGATGGCAAACCAATTACAGCAGTGATGATATAGCTATTGACATGCAAATTCCACGTAGGACTACTGAATAAGATAAGGAATCACATAAATCTGAGGGCAGAGATCCAAGTCTAGAGGAAAGGGAAGGGAATAATAACACCACTGCTTCTTTAGTGGCTTCAGGAACCTGAAAGCATTTGGGACAAAAGGCACACCCAACCTCTGAGCTAATAAATAACTAAATAAAATTGTATATTGAACAGGTAATCTTGAACAGGATCCTCAGTTAGATCTATATTCTTCCAATTTTAATATTGCTTTCTTTGTAGGTAAGTGTAATTCCCAAACACCCCTTGTCTTTCTTTTTAAAAAATTTTCGGAAAATTAGCTCAGCACATTATACTTATTCACGTAATAACTACAATCTTCAAAGAGCCTGGATTTCAATAAGCAACCAGAACACACTGAATTGGGTGATTTTCATTCTTTGACAAATTTCCACATATAAAATATTTATGATGGAGTACACAACAGCAAAGGAATTGTACTAAAATCAGACTATTCAAACTCAGTTTTCATGAAATTATAAGCTAGTTGCCTGCAACTTTGCCACAGGAAGTTTAAAGTTTTTTATTCTCTCTATCCTTCCTCCCTGCTCTCATAGTAGGATGTGGTTAAAAGCACTTAGGTTTTGATTAAGATTCTAGATATTCTGAATGTAAAATACTCAGACAAGTAATTTATGGTCAAAGTTGCCTTTTTTTTTAATTCCATCACAAAACCATTAAATTATGTTGTTATAAAACATAAATTCTAAGCACAATTAAAAATAGAAAAGATTGTTTTCCACTTCCAATGCTTCTTCCAGGGTCAGATATCTCATAAAAACCCACCTTCTGGTACTCCCAGTCAGCAGTAACTCCATGACATGCCAAGTACAGCCAAATAAAGGCAGCTACTGTTATTCCTTGTTCCCTTTCCCCTCAGTGACTCCAAGCAATTGCTGCAATTCCCTGCACTGAAGCTGTCTCACCCCTCAAAAACACTTCTTGCTCAAGATCTTTCAGAGAGATTATATTAAGTTTCCAGTAACAATGCCATGGTAATGGAACAGCAAATGCAAACTGAAATGCTGTATTCTCTGTATAACCAATGGAGAGAGAGCACCATTTGTAACTATTTACATTTGAACAACCCATCATGTTCAAAACACTTTCATGAACTCTGATTATCTGAATTCTGGTTAGCCTGGATGCTGGCCATGTGCACAAACTGGCCAACTCCAGGCACAGCACCTCATCCCTGAACAATTTTTAAATGGGCAATTAAGAGCTATCCTACAAAGTATGAAAACTTCAGAACTCATTTATGTTCAAGTGTACAGAAGCCAGGCTCCCTAAAGAAATTACTGACTTCTGTTCTGACATGGATAAAACCCTAATCTTTATTTTAAATTCTATCATCTCCACATGCCCACTTAAATCTCTGTACCTTTTAATCAGCAGTTTGCAAATTACATTAAACATTAGGAATATAAAGCCAAGTGAGTTAGGAAACATCAAATCACACATGACTCAGTTTTCAAAAGGCCTCTGCTCTAAACAGTTATGATTTCCTCTTAGGAGTAAAGTAAATTTAAACATTTAATGGCAGATACTATTTGGATAGGAAACAAGAAATTAATAGAAACGTATATGAAAAGATAAGAGGAATACATGATGAAATTTGATTTAAAAAATATGTTCACTGCAGTCATTGCCCAGTCCCATCACAGTGGTCCTTCACACCAACACCAGCAAGTTCTGAGGTTTTTGTCTCATCATTCAAAGAGGGACAGTCCCACATGACCTCATGAGCCTCTCTGTTTATGTCACCACCACCCCACCACATGCTACTTTTACAATCACTCTCTTGATCCCAGCTCTCCAATTCCATTCTCACTCTCTTTAACTTGGCTTTGGTGTGTGAAATAGGTTAAGCTTTTGGAGGATACAAAATCCCTAGCAACTTCTTCAGTCAAACATCACTCCCAGGATGCTTTACTCCTTTTATCCACTTTATAACTGTACTTGAAGAGAGGTTTTAAAGACCCTTGCTTACATGTATTTACTCAAAGCACACCCTTTTCTGGTGACTTTTGAGCCTCAGTACTCCTCTGGATCTCCAGTTATTCTTTCAGAGCACTATCTCAAGGACTCCATTTCTTTCATTCCTCTCACTGCCAACTTCCCAGGGGGCTTCACCCATGATCTCGTGTAATCTTCCTCTATAAATTATCTTTGCATCACCTCATCAGAGACACTGGTTCAATCAGCTTTGTCAGAGCTGTCAAGTCACAAAACCTCAAGAGTTGGCTACTTCCTGGCCAAGCTAAAATCTCTACCTTTCTGACATTTCCTTGTGGCTGCCTAGTTGTTAATTCAAGCTCAATAACACCAAATGGAGCTCTAATGTCCTTCTAAACTCAGCTCACCACTTCCCGTGGATATAAATGTCACACTCAATTTTCTGGATGCCTTTCATAGCTGGATGTCACCCTCCACTCACATCTGGTTTTTGTATGCTCTCACAATCAAGCACTACCCACTTATCTGCCTATAAAATCTCATCTTTAATGTTTCATCTCAATTATTGAACCAACCTTTTCCACATTGTTAACAAATACAGTCAGAGCCTAGATGCAAAAATCGCTCTTAGAGTCTATTATTCAAAGAAGTTAAAAACCTCTACATCTTGCTCCTTCCATCTCTTTGTCCTAAAAGCATAAACCACTTATCTTCATTTCACAGACTTAAACACCCTAGTTCAGCTCAACCCACTAGGTTTCATTCAAAGTAAGAGCAATTCCTCAATCTAATGAATGCACAAAGTGATCAGTTTTGCAGAAAATTTAGAATTTTTCTCCATGATGATCTTGGAAGATTTACTCCTAACCATACACGAAACCTATTACGTTCATCTTCTGGTAAATCCTTCCTTTCTTATCTTATGTTGCCTGAAAAATGTAAATTTTAACAGTGGTTGGATTTTTGGGGTGTTGAAGCTGCTGCCCACTGTGACTACCAACAGTGCCCAATTGTTTGATTTTCAGAGTTTACCAAGCGTTACTACCGTATTTCACTGTAAACACCTCCATCCTTATGAAAATGGCCACTGGAAAGTGAAACAAGATAAACAATTAAGAAAAGAATGTAACTTTCTAGTATCCATTTGGGGGAAAATATAAGTTCACAGATCTGAAATGAAATTCTCTAAGCAAGATACATTTCTCCCTCAATTCCATACTGAGGAATTAGTCATTAACTCTTCCAATTAAAGCACTTCTCTCAAAAGGTGCCTATTCAAGAGAAAGAGCAGCACCTATTGTCCTCAATGAAAGAGGACAGAAACCTGTTCTAATTTTATCCTATTCTGCACTATTTGGCTATTTTGGAAAAAAAAGAGTGCTTGATTACTTATAAAACCAACCTATTCTATTCACATTTCAATAAATTATATAAAGAACTGCTTTCAAACTACACTGTCCAAGGGGAGCAATACATAAATACCAGCTCAAAGTAATTCAGGTTTAAAAAATAGTAAAATGCTGTGTGTGTGTGTGTGTAAAAGCAGGAATTCCTGCAGTAAATACCACACATACCAACCTTTTAAAAAGAATTGGTATGAGTTTCCACAGCATATTTTTTTCTTTGAGCTTAGAATAAAATTGATCACTTTCTAAATAATGGGAAACAGTCTGTTTTGCCAAATTGGCAAAAAAGTTCAGTTTTCTTGAGAGAGTCATGAGAATTTTCAAATTACAACTGGAAATTTCCAAACATGCATATTTTGGATCCTAGACTCCGACAGCACACATTCCTGTTACTGTCAAAATGCAAAAACGAGTCAACCAAGATTAAAGGTTTACCAATTAAGATTTTCCAAGGCATCTATCTATAGGACTGATGCCACAAAAAACTTACATTGTAAGAACTTGCTGGCTGCTCCTCCTGAATAAAATACATTTGGGTGGGCAGTCACATCTGGTGGTGACAAAAGGAATTTCTGATTGCTGATCAAACGCTAAAATTGTGAGAACATTCCTGATACTTCCCTGGCTTACACCAGGCAATATTTTCCTACATCCACACCTTTTTACTGTGTATTCCAGAGGAATTGGGTAATAGCTGCCTGGCCCATGGTGACTGAACCTCTTACCTTGGTGTTGGCGCATGCTTTCCCCTTCTTGTAGTCCTTGTGGCTGCCTCTTTTATCCAATTTGGCCCACAAGGCTTTGGCTTTCCAGTAATTGAGCTTGGACTTGAGTTTGTGATAGAAGGAACGATAGTCCTTGGGCTTTAGCTCCAGGTAGTCACAGAGCTCCTGGAAAGCCTTGAGAGTCCCCTTGCAGGTGGAAGCCTGGACAAATCTGTCGAAGAGAACATGAGCCTGGTTCACCTTCTCGTTTTTGCTTTCCTCCATGCTTCACACGTGGCAGCTGCCCAGGGGGGCAGCTGTGCTCTTCCAGTCTGCCAGATTTCCTGATGTTGTTCTGCTGAGCCACTTTCACCTCTGCCTTACAAGCATTATTAACCTATAAAACAAAAAGAAGAAAGAGCAAGTTCAGTTACTCTTTTTCATTCCAAAATTTTGTCTAAACCTGCTGAACTGAGAGCCCAGATTCCCAGTCAGTTCTCAGGTGATAGATATCCCAAGGATTTCTACTCAGGCTGAATGAAGAGGAGGCTTCCAGAGTTCACTGAGCCTCACTGCAGACAGCAGCACATCTCACATCTCTGTTAAATCACAAAATACTTTAACCTGAGCCAGTGCCTTGGAAGTTTTATCAAAACTCATTCTGCATGAAGAGCAGGGAAGTTCCAAGTAAAGAGGCAGATGTTACACCGTGTCTGGAAGAGGGCAGAGGTTGTAAAACAGAACAGGCAAATCCTACCATGTTGCAGTTACTGTGTAACACCACAACAACAGTTATGGGCTGGTGTTAAAAACACTACTGCCACAAACACTTCAAGAGTCCATACTCCATCAGTAAAATAAGCTTTTGTGCCTTCACTCTAAAAAGACATGTCTTTGGTCATGATAAATAGAGATAAGAGGATGGCATAGCAGAAGCTGATATAGAGTCCTTGCCAAGACTGGTTTTTGCACAGTGATGCTTACTGGGATCTTAAAAATAAGTTAAACCTGCTAATAGCAATCAATTTCTTGGAAAAATTAGTCAAGGCTGTAAAAATGAAGCGTGTCTGCGTTGCATAAAGCAGTATAAACATTTCCCTTACCTAAAGCCTACACACATAATTCTGTCCATAAATGAGCAGTGTAAGAGTGAAACATGGCTGGTGCATGAGCCTTCTAAGATCCCATAGTAATTCCCCGATTTTGTGTTTTTCAGCTTCTTTTGATATGCAGGCCTGTACAAAATTTTAGGTGGTAGCTGGGGTCTCCTTTAATCTGCTGGGGCAGAGCTGCTGCTCATTTCTGGGATGCCTCAGAAGCAGGCTGGAGACCTGCAGAATTGTTTGGATCACGTTTAAAGCACAGCTATCTGCTCTTCCTCTCTCTCTTTTATATAGAATAAACCCTTTTCTTTCTTTTATAGATAACTCTAAGTATACTCTAAATTACCCTTCTTGCTGAGAAAGAATAGTTCTGTTTGCCTTCAGATATGAAGGCAGTATGGGAACACAGGCACAAACTATGCAAGTGAAAGCACTTCCAAGGTGGTTTTTGCCCTTGGTTTTTTGTTTTTTGGTTTTTTTTTTGCAAAGGGTATTGAGGCAAAAAGGGAAATATGTGGACTTGGATAAAACTTTTTAGATTCTCACCAGCTTTTTTCCTGCTTCCAGCAGACAGGAAGCCAAGCCAAACATTACAGCTCATGTCTCTTCCCCTCCCATATGACAGCTCTCCAGTAGTTTATTTGGGCACTCCTGCTTTTCAGCCTAACATGGTATTTATTGTTTATGTTTAGAAACAGCAAAGGAGTCCTGGAAACCTTTACATACAGCCACAAACTGGTAGTTTTGAAAAATAAAAGTTCCTACAGATGTCAAAGTACAACAGTGGGTTACAGTGCAGAATGCAATTCTAACTTCATTAGGACAACCACCCTGGAGGACCCAGTACCAATAAAGCTGTTTTTCTAACTGGCTGATAGTGATGCCCATGTCCATATCAGTGCTGCTCACTAAGCAAATTGGAACTGCTTGTTTTCCATCTTAACTTCACTGTTGTGAAGCTGGAAACCTGCTCCAGACTTGCACCTCAAGGAAACCACTGCACTGCTACAGAGGCCAAGTCACAGAACCCCAAAATGGTTTGGTTTGGAAGGGAGACTTTAAAGGTCACAAAGTTCCAACACCCCTGCCATAGGCAGGGATACCTCCCACTAGACCAGGTTCTCAAAGCTCCATCTAATTTTTCTTGAGCACTTCCAGGGATGGGGCATCCACAGCTTCTCTGGGCAACCTGTGCCAGTGTCTCAGTGCCTTCACAGCAAAGAGCTTCTCAATATGCAATCTAAACCTGCCCTATAACAGTTTGAAGCCATTCCCCCTTGTCCTATCATTCATGTCCTTGTTTAAAGTCCCTCTCCCCCTCTCTTCTGGCCCAACCAGGTACTGAAGTCCTGTGCCTCCTCTTTTGTTCTCAAGAAGAATATTATAATGGACTCCAACAAAACACCTCTAACGCTGAAGGAGTCATTTCAGTGTCTCTGTGTCATACAGACACAATAAAATACCTACAGCCTAAAGTCATATGCCTCATTAATCAGCACAGCATTCCAAGCTGAATACTCTTATGTTCCCCCCACTTCTTGCATCCCCACTCCACCACCCAAACACTCACTTTACACCAGCGCTTTGGATGACTGAGACTTCTTCAGAAAAAGCAATACAAGTTACATGACCTAAATTAAGTGGATTCACAATTCAGGTCTTTTAGTCCACATTCCACTTCTGATATATCCAGATGTAAGGACAGCATAGGGATCATTTCTTAGTCTTGCTTCTCCCATAGCTTTTCACCAAGCAAGTGAAGCAGTATTGGTTTTGCACTGCTTAAAGACCCCAAAGCTAAAACCCAACCTCCTTTTGTCACATTATATCACAGTACAAGCTGGCTTGTACTGGGCAATTAATTTGGCTATAAATAAGAAAACCAGCTGGCCCCTGGCTTGAAAGAAAGGATTCTCAACCAATTCTGTTCCATCCTAAGCTGCAGACATCTCACAGGTCCAGGAGCTGGGTGGTGTCAAGGAACACACCAATAACTGGGTTTTTCAAAACCCCTTTTATAAACAGGGCTTCATACAATAAACTTGTTCTTTTGCCACATGGACATTGGGGTGTGTGTCGTTCCTGGCTCTGACCACTAACCCCACAGAACATGTGGATATTAAACATAATATCCTTTCACTCTAGGAACTTGCTGCTGTGTGTCTGAGGTTTGCCAAGCCAGCAGCCAAACCTGGAACAAACAGGTCATTTGAGCCAGCACATTCCAAGGGGTACCTTAGCACGGCAGCTCTGCCCAAATCCCGCTTCACACAGCCTGGGAAATCAGTTATGCCCAAGGGTGAAACACCGAGGCTTCAGTCACCACATTAGGTCACTCCCTAGAACTCTGCATTCCTGATGTAAACACCCTGAGCCCTTGGAACCCAAGAGCAACACGTCAGAGAACATGGAAATTACAGGAGGAAAGCAAGGGCAGGCAAGAATTATTTGCTAGGTTTCCAGGGTACTGGTGTGCCTTGCTGGCTGTTCTGCAAGTCTGCAGTATCCTGCATGTTTTGTCTCGAGGCAGCTGATTGCTGACTCAGATGCTCTGTGAATTCCTTGGCTTGGGAGCTGGGCGAGTGAAAGACAAAGCCCGTGGAAAAACGCATGCAAGAACAGCGTTCACGTTGCTATTTACAATAATAGCAGGAGGTTGTCACTGACTCATGGCTCCAAGTACCCTCAGGATCTCCAGCGCTCGCCCAGGACAAAGAAACCAATGGAAAACACAGAGATGCAGGCAGTGAATAATTCCAGGTGGTGGTTCCTTCCCACAGTCACCACAGATGCAGGAATATGAATATTTCATCAAATGCATACACGAGAAAGAAAGCCCAGTGCCCTACTTCTGCCAAAGGCAAGAGATAAGAGGAGATTTTGCAAATTCTACACATCATGAATTTGGTTGTACAAATTGAAGTTCTGCAGCAAGTGTTGCAAATGCAGGGCTTATATATTTCAGGCAAATAAATCCCCATTATACAAGTCACCACCCCCTCTACATTTCCATCCTAATTTTGTTCAAAGTGTTCATTCAAGCAATGACTTGAGCCTGGGAAAAAATAAAATACTACAGGAATGTATTTTCCAGCCATCTTTTTTTTCCCCATCAGAAATTATTGAGTTAATTCCATCTACATTCACAGCTTTTTCTCTCCACCCTAAATCAGGAGTGAATAAAACATTTGCCAAAGTAATTGCCCAGCTGCACTTCAGAATGCTGAGTTTCTCTGAGCACTATTTAAGTGCTTTGTTACATTTGAGTTATTTCACAGCCAGGCCAACACCACAGATGCACCCTTGACAGACAATCCTCTGAGAAGTCAGGCATCAAGAAGAAGCAGTAATACCATATGGAATTTGACAGCAAACTGGTCCATGATCATAAAATTACTCTCCAGCAACATTCCCTATGCCCTTACCTCCCTTTCATGGCTCCTTCTGTAGCTTGTGCCTAAGCAAGGCTCAGTAACAAGCTCTGCAAACTCCGAGATTACTGCAGTACCCAGGCAGCCAGGACACACTTGCAACTTGGCTAGCAAAAGCCTAAGCACAGATTACAGTTAAGCTCATGCTACAGACAGTGGGGACACCTATTTTTGTCTCTCTCCTCCACCCAGCATCCAGTTTTCTTGTAGGAAACCAATTACCTTTGAGACTCTTTTTCCTCATTGAATCTGGATGAAATTGTTCAAAAGTTATTAAGGATGAACTGAAAAGCAGATGAACAAATGGCTCAATCCCATAAGCCTCCCCTCTTTAGGAAGCCAAACACACAAAAAAAATCTTTATTCCAACAAATGAAAAAGCTCTGTTTTAATTTCTAAGATTTACATTCTTTTACTTTCAGCTAAAACTGAAAAAATGGATTTTCTACAATATGTTCATGACTTTCCAAGTGATTACAATACCAAAAAGTGCAGCTTTAGGGCAGTGGTAAGACTGTGGAACAGATGGCAAAAAGAGGACAAGAGGACAAGAAAAACTACAGCCAAAACTGGCAACTATTTCAGCTCCATGTAATGCAGACCAAGAATGGGAAAGCAGGAGGACAAAGGCGTGGTTGCCATTGTTTGCAGCTTCCCTTTTACACCAGATGGAAAAGGGGCACGTCAGTCCTGTCCACAGCACGTCTTAAAATGGGATTTAGATCTGTTCCTGTTCATAACATTCAAGACTCAAGTAAATAAGCTGTCAAAAAACTGTGTTTTAATATACCATGAAACCTGATCTGGTCACTTCTGCCCACCACATGGGAGACAGTCTTGTGGGTCTCCACATCTCTTTTCTG